CCGCTGCAGTAATTGAGTAGACATCCCTACTGTTTTAATAAGAAAATTTCCTTCCAGATAAAAATAAGGGAATAAAAATCCACAGGGAATTGGTACTGGAGACTTTCGACAATGGCTGTGTTAACGATTAATTGACCGCCTCTAATTGACCTCGGTCTGGGCTTAGTTATAGAAAGCGGGGTCGCCGGTTCAAATCTGAACTGTAAATTTTAGTTTACTAGCTCCTGTCTCCGGGTGTCTACTGCGGTACGGGTCATTAATTTAATTAATTACATTGCATGTCCTTTTGTTTGTTAAATAAATGTTTAATTTTGGTTAAGATGAAAATTTTTTATTGTTCTTTATAATATGATAAAATCATAACTGAAGTAAAAGCTGTATTATAAATGTACCCATTAATATAAATGTGAATTTTTCTTTTTATTTTCATTTAGCATTATACTCGTAACAAACAGACGGAATTGACTAAATCGCACCAAAGGGACCCTGCAGCATTGCCAGACTAGATTTTTTTTTTCACTTTTAGGTAAATATTTTTTTTGTTATAAAAATTTTGTAGAAATTATTTTTTTAAAAAAAGGTGAAATAAGCTTGGAGAAATTGGGATATTTTTTTAATCAATTTAGAATGACAAACAAGCCGACGGCCCACCTAATGGAAAGTGATAACTACTCGTATCGCCTATAGACATGAGCAGTACCACAGATAATATAATACCATGCAGTACCATGAACATAACAGAGTATACTATTTCGCCCATGATACCCCCCATGTCTTGTCATTCCTGAGAACTCAAATGTTATTCCTCTGTACCCTGTAAATACATTATTACATAATTTGTTTGGAAATTTTGAATAATAGTTTTAATATTTGCAATTCGTATACAGATACATAATTAATACAAAATATATGAAGATACATAACCGAGGATACGAGAAGAGAAGAATAGGAAAAAGTAGAAACAATAGTGAATGCCCTTTTTTCATCACTAATTTATTGTGATAAAACGTAGTGAAAAACAACAAAACTTTGTAATAGGGTAAAAATTCTGGAAATCGTATCGATTAGAAGAAAAAATATTTGACATTTGGGTAAAAATCAAAATTCGCATCTGATAACCCTAATCCTTAAAATGTAAATTGGATTCTCATTCCGTACTAAGTCTCTCATTTGAGACCTTGTGCGTGTAATAACCTTTGTATAATTTTAGTACGAAACTTTAAACATTAAAAATTCCCACCGAAATCCATCAAGAATTTAATCTTTAATCAAATAAATTAGTCAACACTATCTATCCTATTTAAGAGCTGCGCTCTTGTCGGTGGAGCTCTTGCCACTCACTACGATTTTCAGTGAGTCTCTTCACCTCTTGATATGACACGACACCAACTGCTTCCTTGATCTGCCTGATGTAACTATGTCTCGGTCTCCCTCTTCCCCTTCTTCCTTCTATCTTACCTTCTATTATAATGTTCATAAGTTCGTCGTGTCGTATCAAGTACAAAATCCTCTTATGCGAAATGGCTTTCTATGTAAACAATTCCGATTTATACCTACACCACATGTCATGTCAAGTTGTACAAACTAATACAAATGCTATTAGGCACGTAACGCAAGTTAATACATTACGGCGTATGTAAATTAGGGAAGACGTTATCCACAAACATTGGGTGAATTAATGCTGCCGGGTGAGCCTTATGCAGCCCTAGGGGGGTGAGATTCGTTGTCTTGACAGTTCCTTATTTTGAATTTTAATTAACATATGGTATGATATTCATTATGTCTGCGTAGGAACGGTCGGGTCGACTGTTGTCTACTCAAATTATAATAACCTAAGTATAGGTGGTACAATTGAGACAAGAACTTGAAGAGCAAAAAATATAGTTTTTATTTTGCAAATTATTAGAAGTTTTCATCTAATGCAATAATAAACGTCACAAAAAAGATATTGATGAATGTGGAAGAAGCGAAAGAGGTTTATTTGAAGCATTTTGCGTTCCATTGTTTCTGCCTACCCTAATGGGAGACAGGCGTGACAGATATGTATGTATATATCAAGCAACCTCAACTTATTTTATTTTATAAATACAGTTAATTGGGACTAATATTCTAACAATTCCACAGTCATGTACAGTACTTATGAAACTGGTTAACTTCACTCGACGAACAGGCATCTTACGCCGTATCCGTAAAATCAAACAAATCGGTTTAGTCGGTAAAAGATAATCTTACTTTTTTTAATAAGTATTTGGGAATAAAAGCATTGGTAAATAAGGATGCATCTTTGATATTATTATTATTTCAACCGTTAACACTACACTACACTTCAAATAGGACATGAAAATAAGTGAGTAAATAAATTATTCTTTTATATTAATCATTTATTAGCTACTCATAAAATCACATGTGTGGGATTTATTACAATCAATAGACAGATTTAGATAAAATACTTTGATAATTACAAGTGATATACGTATAATCTTGATTTAACAATTATTTCTTAACATATATATAGGCATATTTGGCATAATACATTATGTCATAAAGAAATATAAAAATTTGGTATAAAATTATTTCAATGACCACATAACACAGATGTATATTTTATTATTATTATTGAGATAAGTTTTTTTTTTCAAGCAAAAAAACCTTTCCATTATCTTTTGTGCTCGCAGATGTAACATATACGCCAGCACCACTAGTTTCAATCGTGAGAGCTAGACTGAAAAAAAAACCTTCGTTTAGGAGCGTTCATTACATTAGCTTACTGAAGTATAGCAATGTTTCAATTTTATGTAAATTTTCAAAAATAATTTAATAAATTTCAGTGTTCCAGATTGATTATTTAAAATGAACTCCGCTAGCGAACTAAAACATTAATCTGTTAGGTGTGACTCTTAATATGGATTTTATTGGTAAAAATATATTTAAAAAAATCCGAAAATTATTATGGTTCGTTATTCGTCATTGAACTTAAAAAGTAAAATTGTGTTTTTGATTTCCGCGCATTGTTTGAGAAAAGTACTATTCAAGCCTTGGCCACAACTAGGCATTGATGGACTCATGTATGTGTGCCTCGGCTACACCTCGGCCCACATTTGCACGTTTGTCCATCAATGCCTCAATTGCTGGCCGCTGCAGTAATGTACTATATTTGGATAACAGACTTTTAACATATTCTTTATTGGACTAGCATATAGATATTGTTACTAAAATATATAGATATTGCTATATATTATCTGCCTCTACTTCTGACCTAATTGTCGCATTTGCGCGTGTGTGAAGGATAACTCCCGCTTGTAATACTTTAGTGTCCCTTTATTTTGACTTTTCAATATAAACACAGATTGTTTTTTCAGCATGACTAAATGTGCGCTAAGTAAAAGATTTCTCTCGCCATCACTATCAAAATCCCATTTGGATTTTTATCAATGTTGGCGAGACCCCATTGCTATTAATATACCCTTACACGGAGACTACCACGCAGTTCTGAAAACTATTATGTTTAATATTTTTTTAATTCTATCATCTCTCATTAGCGATTCTCTCACACATAATCTCAAAAAAAAGTAAATGAATTTAGATTCGTTTAGTAAAACTATCAATGTGACTTGAGCGAATTTGACAAGATGCTATTATTGTTTTTATTAATTTGTTATAGTTGGAGTTTACGAGTACAGAAGACATAATGTACTTAACCAAAATAATGCTAAATGTCAATCCGATATTATCACCACATTAAATAAATCTTGATTATTTATTAAATCTCTTCTTTTATAAGCACAAACTAGTGTTATATGAAATTGAATTTTCTTAGAATTAACAATTTAAAACAATTTCCAAATTAAATGACGTGACATATATTTTAAATCCATACATGGAACTTAAGTATCTACTAGCTATTATACATGTTTGTACTTTACAATATTATTACTGAGTATTGATGATCGGTGCTCAATATTTTTAATTTCGTAACAACAACAATAAGCACCATGATTTAGTGATCACTTTTTTTTTTTAATATTGAAATTAAATGTATAAGCGTTTGTACAAAAAGCACATTCATGGAAGTAAAAGGTTACACATTGCTTTATATTAGTAGTCTTTACGCTTAGGTGCCGTTTGATCAGGAAGCATACTCATGTAGTGTAAAGTATTACATATATGTTATTGCAATATTCATTTCTATAATGTTTGTTTTTATTTTATTACATAAATTATATACGAATGCTCTCTTGGTGAACAGGTATCCTTAGGAGTAAACCTAGGTCACACGATATAAACGATCTATAACCAGTATCATCAATGAATTCTGCATTAAAATGCGAAATCTAAATAACGTATTTAATTATTTAGCTCTTTATAATTTATTATCTTAATAGATACAGTAAAAAAATAATTAAAATACTGCATAAAATCTTTTAACATTAACACACGCTGTACGTGTAACCAATAATATTTTAAGTCACATTTTTTTATAAATAGCCTGTTTAGTAAAAATCTTAGCATGTCTTTTTATTGAAAAAACAATGTAAAATATAAACAAATAATTAGAATATTTTTTGCAATGATGACTATTAAATAGACAAATATTCCTTTAGTACAAGAATACGTATATAAAGAACACAAAAATATATATAACGTACTTATTTATGTATTAACATCGTGTTTTCTTTTATTGACTAATTAGAAAAATAGACACGCCAAGATTGTTTACTTAATATGTATGGGTTTCGATGTAATATATTAATCTACAATCCAAAATTTATAATAACAGCATTCATAAAACTATTATTGCCTTTAGTTTAAGCGTAAATTTTTTATTTATACTTTCCTGCTACTGATTTTCACTGTAAAATAAAAATATAAAAAAAAATATAAAATATCACACCATAATTTATATATATATATATATATATATATATATATATATATATATATATATATATATATATATATATATATATATATATATATATATATATATATATATATTTTTTTTCAGAAAAGGATTCATTGTTAATACAATTATAATATAAGCGTAAATAAAAATGTAAAAAGATATTATTATCTACAATCAAGAAATAAAGTTCTATGGCACTATTAATAATAAAATTTGTAAAATAAGTATATGATTATATAATAATTAAGATATGTATATAATGTATAATATTCCACAACTTGTAAGTGTGACATAATATTTTAAAACATTATGTACTAAAATCATATTATTTAAACGATAATTCTGGTTTACCAATTAAAATTCGCTTTAGATTATTTGAATACATTATGTATGTAAATAAATACAGCTGTAATAAAAGATTTATTAGTTATTTATTTTAAAGAATTTATAATTTGAAATGGATAATAAGGAATATTATTTATTATTATCATGCCCCTATGGCGACTTTAGTCCTCATTTATATGTATATATATTCTTTATCTATGGTACTTATTTTTAAGTATCTCTGTTTAAATTTCGTTATATACCATAAACAATGACTTATTTTTACATCACATCTACATTGTAAGACAAAGTATTGAAAAAATTTTACTTAAAAAATTAACAAAGATTTATCTTTGATATTTAAAAAAAAATATAGTTAATATAGATATATTAAAAAATTATAAAAATAGGTAGTTAAAATACATTTCACGAACATCACGTTACACCCCACGCCTAGAAAAAGAATCAAATATTACAAGGGGTACAGCAGTTACAATGTAGATGCAACTTTACTATAAGTGTGTGTGCATGTTTATTTATTATTATGGATTGCATTTATTATTATGGATTATAATATATAGAACACTCTATATGCTACTATAATCTTTATATGGCATATTATAATTATTGTAATCTGAGGTTATGCATATAGATACTTCATGTAAAAAATGTCACTGGTACCCATGAAGAGTGGGAAGCCATAGCAAAGGCACATTATCGATAAGCACCATTACAAGACTGTTTCATTTTAATTGACAAAATTATCTTTATTGCTCAGTATATATTATGCCGTTCGTTATATTAAAAAAAAAATATTTACAAAGACTAGTAACTAATAAATTAATGTATAAAGTCAGGGCCAATCATGAGAATATCAGAGGTGAACAACCTTAAACCATATATATAGCCTTTGACAGGTTAGAACGTAAGATAAGCTACAAAAAAAAATCATAAGGTAAAAAAATATATAATCATTATTAAAAAATATCACTGTAATTTTGATAATTACTGTATACTAAAGTAGCTGACTCGACAGATGTTCCCTTTCTATTCAAGTAATATTTTTTTTACCTTAATTGGCTATTACAAAAATTGAAAAAATATCCAAATCGGTCCAGCCGATCATATTTAAAGTCGTGCCCATATTTCTTAAAAAAAATATTAATAGAACACTCTCTTAAAAGACTGCTAATATTTAATGACTCATGTAAATGTAAGAAAACTTGCAGTCACAGTTAAAATTATCAGTAATTATTATATAATTATAAGCACTATAAAGAAATAATTTAGTAGACATATTTTTAATAAGTTTATTATTTACAAAAATGTGATGTGTAGTCTATGACTAAAAAAATCCAACATTTCTGTTGAACATATAAAATAGGAGGTACGCCACTGAACAACACTATGATGGAATAAGTAAGATTTCATCTCAGTAGTTCTATGAACATAGAGATGAATATTTCACTGTCTTTTTTTAAAAAACAATAATTTTAAGATCCATAGAGAATCAAAGGTTATTTGCCCCTATTTGTCAGTGGTTGGCCCAAAATATTAATAATGATAAATATAAAAATTACGTAATATTTACAAAATAATGTAAAATAATAAACGAACACACCCAAAGACACTTCAACATATTTGCAATATAGCTTACAACTAAATTATTATTAAATAACATAAGCTTCTGTTGCACATAGAAACTAAATCTCATTAAACATAAGCATTGAGTAACAAAGCAACTTCTGAATTAACAAGTACAAGTAAAAATACCAAAACAAAATTTAATAATTTTAATATAATAATACTTCAGTTACTCTGATAGGCAATTATTGAATACAGTTTCTTTTTTTTTTTTAAGACCATAGACAAATTGAAACAAAAAGAATGTCACGTTTCACTTTGGAAATTTGGTCACTAAGTGCAGCATCAACTATAATTTATTATTCTTTGGGTGATACACTCAAGGCCTCAGGCAATTATTTATAGCAACTACAAAAGCAACACTGATTTATTACTATCAAACACGGAGTTAACAGCACCTAAATATTGTTATAAATTTATTAAACAACCAAAAATCGTTACGAATAACACCTAATTAATTAACAATAAGTATTACGTATCTCTCTTGTGTTGAACATTGTCAGAACCGATCGCACTGGATTTTATACCTTATTTTATATTATTAAAGAATTTATGTTTCTTTGCGACCGATTCCGACAATGCCTTAGTTTTATGATAGGTCTAATGTGCGTCTTCACACTAGTTTATAAGTATGATATTGCTATTAAATATAATTGCTTACATTTCATGATTATAGAGATTTTGACTCCAGTGTTTAGTCAAGTTCTAATCTAAAAGTCAGATCATTAAAAGAGATATTGTGATGTCATAAAAGGGGGATAAGGTTGATTTTCGTATATTAATATTTATTTATAGAACTTTATACTAAAATATAAACTCTCCATTTATAAAATATTTTCTTTTTGTTTGGTAATACTCTTTCTATTCTCTTTAGACTAAACAGTTTATATATATAAACTGTTTCCATATCTGTGTGCGTGTATACTATATTGTTTCTTTTTTTATAGATATAACAATATTAGACAATAAATTGTACTTCTGCTTACCCCATGATAAACTAATAGGAAACGTCATAAGGCATATCCTTTGGTAAATAATAATCTATTTTATAAATTTTATAATATCTGCCAAATGAACTGTTATGTATTCAGAGATATCACAACAATATATACATCTGGTGAAGCAGTGTTTCGAGAAGATACAGTTATTATTGACCTTAAATCTTAATCAATACATATAATAAAATCGTACAATTTACATGAAAAGGTTTTGGTGGAAGAAATCTCTTATTAGAAATAAGCTCGCCTTTGTACATTATGTTTCAAATGAAATGTGGTTAACATTATATTTTGTGTACAATATAGAATAAAGAAAGAATAAAATCGTAACTGGTCGGAAGATATATAAGAAAAACTATTATAGAGGAGCTTTATGAACGCAAAAGAACCCAAAACAATGATTTTTAAAATTGTTGTCTGTTTGTCTGTATGTTTGTGCATGCTAATCTCAGAAACGGATTAACCGATTTAAATGCTGTTTTCACTAATGCGTTGCGGTTTGCTCCACTTAATATTTAGTGTTTGTTTTATTTCAATCGGTTCATAAATATAAAAAGTTATAACAATCTAAAGAATTACATAAAAAATGCTATAAAAAGCATATAGGGTACTTTATATACTGATTCACGCGAGTAAAGCCGCGGCATATTGCTAGTTATTATAATAAATTTATTCTTATATACGCAGAAAACAGAATTAGTCTACTATTTGTATTAGAATAACGAGACACAGGACGCCGCGTTGTCTTGCTCTTTTTCAAGCTTGCAGCAGTGATTCTGCTTTCTAGTGGTAAAAAATAATGGTCAACTTCCCTCACCAGAGATAAAGCATAATATATATAAATAGAAACATGTTCTATTAAACGATTCTTTCCATCATGACGTAGTAGGTAATGACGAAAACCATGGGGGACGAATTCTAACTGAATTTGAAACAATTTTAGACTCAGAGATATTACCGTAATAAACCTTTTACGATTATAATAGTTTTTAATTCATGCATACTTGCACTATCATTGATATAATACTTATTGGTGGATAAATATGTGTTTTTTTTTTTTTTAATTATAAATAATTATACTAAGTTTTGTGATGTTTCGACTAAAACAAAATCTTGTATATGGTAACTAACGGTCACAAATGGACCAAAAATTAATACGATCATCAAAATATCATACAAAATACGAATAAAGAAAGACTAAAACACTGGTCATAAGTGTCTTTATAACCATTGGCCTTTATTGCAGAGTGCACCACCCACGCAATAGTCAAGGGTTCTCGACCCCTTCCGCGAGGTATTCCGCTGCGCCGTCTCCATTCACTTGATCCCTAATTACGATCGTAGGATTGTTTGAACATGAAGAGTTGGAAGCTGTTCGGTTGGTTGACTTACATCGCTGGCATTCTACGACAACTATCGAATTGGTGTCCATGTCGGTCTCAGTGCTGCTCGTACGACGGAGATGGTTCGCGTTCGATTGAAGCCGATGCTCGAGTATCGCCCGCCATAGACGTAATTCTACACCGCCCCTGTAAAACAAAATTTACATATAGATCTGTTAATTATTCTAAAAAAAAATACTAGACGTCTTCATGACCCTTAAAAGATAGATAAATCTTTTATAAATATATATATATATATATATATATATATATATATATATATATATATATATATATATATATATATATATATATATATATATATATATATATATATATATATATATATATATAAGGAAAAGATCGACAGACGGATTGCAACCGCAGTTTGGTTTTGGTGGTTTTTAGAGAGGGGCGCTGCTGTCCATTCCTCGACCGTGAAATTTCCTTAGTCGTCTTTTACGACACTTGCAGAACACAAAGAAGAGACCCATTCTTCATACATCCATCCATACCGGGACCACACGACGTTAGATAACACGTTAGATATACATTGCCTAAACTTCGTCCCGATCCATCAGTGGATAATGAATGATGATATCGTCAGAGTTGGCCCTGGCATATCTAGCGCCACTGGGCAAATCCCCCCTCCCCCCTAAGACGACAAAAATAGGTCACCGAGGATCTGCTATTATGTAGTTAAAAAACTAACAATATAATATGTATATATTGCTCACTTGAGATTCAACCTAGCGATGTCCTCCCGCTGGGCGTGTTGCAATAAGTCCGGAAGTGAATATTCGTGCGCCGCGAGAGCGCGAGCCGCGGATTCAGGTACCCCGCGGGTTGAAGTCCATTCTCGAATTGACGCCAGATGTTCTTCATTCACTTCTGTTATTTCTGGAGTACGTATATTCCTGTAAATCAAAATTATTATATACGTCAATAAGTAATGTGCTTTATAGAGCCTCTACGCACTTCTTGGTCGGCAGTAAAATTACAGTATACAAAGGTATAATACCTTAGTCCGCAATAAATAGGAGCGCAAGAGGGGTACCATGGGCGTCACAGTGTGATGTCCGTGATGTAGTTCATCCCACTTATTCATAAAAACGTTAAACCTCTTATAAACCTATTTTAGTTATCGAAGTGTTTTGTACTTATCATACATATCTGTCAAGCCTGTCTCACATTAGGGTAGACAGAAACAATGAAACGACAAATGCTTCGATTCAAACAAACCTCTTGTCCTTACATTTTGCACTAATTTCTCAATTTGAAAGACAGTGACAAAAACAATGTAATAGTTAAATTAGGTTTGTAGAACGTTTTAGTTTTTTTTTTTTTTTTTTTTATGAATAAGAGCGTAAATCTATAGGCGATGGTTACTACTTTCCATCATGTCGGCTGTCATAATAAAGATTTTAGAGGCCTATATAAAAATACTTTATTACATTGTTATAAACCTGAAAATCATTACCCCTTTTGACAGTTTGGTTAAAAATGAATGAATGAAAATCGAACTACACTTACTGTCTTCCATTCGCCAGTTCCCTAATAATTTGTGTCTGCATCTTCTGTTCTTCTAACATTTGGCGAAGTAACGACTGATGTTGCTGATAGCTGTCCAGTAGCTCTTGGTGCAATCTAAAAGTAAAATGGCGATGAAAAAAGTGTATTTGAGCGAGAACAGCGGAAATATCGTGTTATAATGGGTTCAAAAAATCAGATCGTACTTATTCATATAGGGCATATTTTTTGTACAGTTTTACATTTTCGTACAAATTGTACATATGCACGGTGTGGTGAGTTATGGTGACGAAAGTGACATCCTATATATACATATTTCTTTCAAGTAGCCTTGTACCAGTACTAGTCCTTAGGAATGGCAAGGTATGGAGAGTCATCATGAGAGAGGGCATCAGTACATTCTACTATATCTATAGCAGGTTTCCCAACCTTTTTTGTGCCATGCCCCACTTGAACATTCCTAAAATTTTACGTGACGACTCTAATCGACCAGTTGATATTTTGGTAACGTCAAACGAAATTTACAGCATTTTTTTTTACTGATATCTACTCGTAGCATTGCATTAAATGGCTCGGAGCAAGAAGGTTAAAATCGCTTCGAATCCATTTTTTAATTGCCCTCCCTTAACTATCAAATTGCCCCCCTGTGGGGCGTGGGTCCCACGTTGGGAAACACTGATCTATAGTGTTGCTCGTGTCTATCGGCAACGGTTATCCTTGCCTAATTCCTTTCCAGCAATATACCCCGTTAGATCGACCTCCACTTTGTCCCTGGAAATCATCATGCTGAATCGCAGGTGTATTTATCACAATGGGCGGCAATAACTGACCTGAATATTCTTTCTCACCTATCGTCCTTCACTGGTGTCCGGCGAGCGTATACCGTTAGTGCAAACGGGGTAGCCATTCCATTACCATCCATTAAAAAAAAACAGTTACGTTTAACTTTCAACAGTCAGCTTATTTGTTATTTCAAACATGAAGAAACAAGAAACATCTTGATTATAAAAATTTCGCAACTATTGCAGTTTTCAATATCCTTTGTATATGTATATGGTTACTTATGATTTTCTTGCCGTAGCTGGTGCAGCTGATGGTCCCTGGCGGAGGTGGCCGTGGAGAGTGCTGAGGAAGTGGCCGCTTCAGCCGCGCCGCCGCCGCCGCGTCGCGACTCGCCCGCAAGGTTTGCGCCCAACTCTGTATTTATTTTTATATTATGTATAACTGTCCACTGGTGAACATAAGCCAAAGACCCCATAGCCATGACCTTTGTCATTACTACTGATAATACCCTATTTGTATTATCATTAGTTACCACGCTTGGCAAGCGGGTTAGCAACTGCAGTTATGCTATAGTGATGTTTCAAGAGTGACGCTGCTGCCCATCCCTCGACCATTAAATTGTCTTAATCGCCTCCTACGACACCTACAGTAAAAGAGGTGACCCATTCTACGCTGGGACCACACGGCGAACAAGACGAAATATAAATCATGAACAACATTATAAAGAAGTTTTCGACTAGTGAAACTGAACATTTGTCCCAATGAAGCATGGATACAAAAACAACAGATATTTTGGAACCTCTTAATAAACCTATTACAACTGCTGTTAGTTTCTTTCAAATTACTCATAAGAAAATGAATTGAAAGAAAGTGAAACACTTCAATCGATAAAATAAGGTGTTTGACATCTTTTTTTTTTATGCATCTTAGAATAGCAAACAAGCTGACGGCCCACCTGGTGGACAGTGGTAACCGTCGCCTATGAACATGAGCAGTACCATGGACATAACAGAGTATACTGTTTCACCCATGATACCCCCCATGCATTGCCATTCCTGAGGACTCAAGTGTTATTCCTCTGTACCCTGTAAATTCACTGCCATATCTCACCTTTCAAACCGAAACACAGCCATGCAAACACAATTTTAGTACAAAGTCTCCCTCTGGTAAAGACATATTTACCCTTACTAATATTATAAACATCAAAGCGAATTTGTTTGTTACCTCTTGAACCCTTAATGCTCGTCTTATGACATTTGGCAAACGCATAGTGTTTAAGATGCTTTTATAAACTATCACGCAGAATTAAGTCGCAGTTGAAAACTAGTTAAAACATTGCACTTATTTAAATATATATTTATGTGGTAGAATGCTTTTAAAAACAGTATCTAAAATAAGTTAAAAACTTACCTGGTGACAGTACGGTAATTGCAGCTTGTACCGCATTCCGCACTAAATTGTCCAACGCGAACATCCAGTGGGGTTTTATACTATGCATCCTAAGTACAGCGTTTGCAGCCTCTTGGAACATATAAATGGCTGAATGTAGCTCGTTAATGGCGTTAGAGTCGAAGTCTAACTCCTCCTTCAATGTGGTTACAGCTTGTTCTATGACCTGTCTGTTTTGTTGCGAAATATAGTCTTTGAGAGCGCAATGTAATTTTGTCAGGTGATCCTGTAATAGAAGTGATGATTCGATATAAATAATAACTGTAGTGGTTGAAAGAAATTCGAATAACGAATTTCCTTATTCAAATTTTTATATGAAATCAGAATCCCTAATTTTTATTGAAACAAAAAAATACATGAAAACTTTTGTACTAGTTGTCCATTCATCCATTGCTTTTCGGAACTTGCTTGAAATCTTTTTTTATATTAAATGATGTGATCGGTTTACTGTAAAGTGCTGTTTTGTGCGCAGGCGCCTTTAGCCTTTTGTGTACATGTGTCGTATTGTTAAAGAGTTAGCTTATAATTTTATTTTTACTATTATAAGCTCCTTCCTTATTCCTTTTATTATGCTGGTATGGATAACAGCCAGGGCCCACCACTTCCTTCTGTCCTGCCATACCTTTTGCCACATACATAAAACTCTTCATAAATCGTGGGTTTTGGGTATGATATATAAAAATTATAATTAGTACTGGTATAGTAACTGAAAGTCAGTAATTAGTGTGCAAACAACTCATTGGCAACCGCAATCAGACTTTAGAGATCTTTTAAGAGAGATGCTGCTTTCCATCCCTCGCCCTCCCTTAGTCTTGAATAAAAGGGGTAGCCTATTCTATGCTGGGACCACACGGCCATATTATATTATTATATATATTCACATATTATATTATGTATAAAATTTTATGTAGGTATATCGCCCATGTATCTCTATCTCTTGATGCGAGTATAGAGTTTATCTATTTTCGAAGTCGGATTATGTTTGCCACTTACCATTGTCAAGACGGTATTTCCGAAATCCTGTTGTATGCTGTGCATCCACTTTGAGCAGACCTTTTCGCTGTCCTGCTCTAACACACGTGAGAGAGTGATACGCCGTTGCGAATCCTTCTTCAGTAGATAAAATCCGTCCTCTTCCATCTCGATAGACGACCGTCCCGCATTTATCAAATCAACCTGGCAATTCCTTTATTATTAAATATTGTAAAAGAGTTGGGGTTCCAAAGATTTTTTCTTCGTTAAGGGTTTTCATTCACTTAATAAATGTTAACTATACAAGAAACATCAGTTCAGTTCATCTCTTATGCCGTACAGGTTCTATGTTAAATTAGGTGTCAATAAATAACACTATTAGTATTCATAATTTACAGGGTACAGAGGAATAACACCCGAGTCCTCAGGAATGGCAACGCATGGGGGTTATCATGGCAAAACAGTATACTCTGTTATGTACATGGTACTACTCATGTCTATAGGCGACGGTTACCACTTTCCATCAGGTGGGCCGTCAGCTTGTTTGCCATTCTGAGTTGCATAAAAAAAATACCGAAGTTTACTAAAATGTAAAATACAATATAATAATTATATGTCAATTAAAAAAAAAAAAAATTCAATAATTTTGAATATTTTAAAAATACTCTGATAGCGAATTAAAACGATAATTATGGAATAAATTGCACGTAAATTTACTTGTCACTGATAAAAGTTTTACATTTACTTCATATTTTACTTTAAAAGATTTTAAATATTTTTTTGATATCAAAATTATTTTTTTCACTTTTTACACATTTACACTTTGAGCCGATATCCGAGTTGATAGATAATTCCAATGTTGCCACTCTAAGGAACTCGAAAGAATTTGTATTAGTCCATACCTCAGGAGATAAAAGGCCTCCGGATGAACTCCGCCTATTTAGCAATGTGTCGCCGCTCTCCATATCATCGGTAGATGGCGTATTGGGCATCGTGCTACAACACAAAATTACAAATATAGTTCAGTATTTCATTCTCTGAGTACTTTTTCAAAATAATTTATAATACTGCAAGATTGGATAAAAAGCAATAGGTAAATATACAATTTCTGTCTTAAATATATGAATGTAAAGTCTACATTATGTTGAGTCCTAAAGGCTCATCCATATATTCTTAACATAATATACTCATATGGGAAAACAAGTGTTCATAAGTAGAATTTGATTTGAGATTGTTATGATTAGAAAAAATATCAATCCAAGTTTTAACAATCATAAGCAATTTCCTTGTTGAAATTAATATAATAAGCTTATAAATGTAAATACTAAAATTATCGCGGGTTGCCGCGTGCAAAAATATATCTTACGAAGCAATAATTAAATTTATTCAACTGTATTAAATTGTTAGTTTTGTTGAAATTGACCATTAATTCGTCTTACATTAATATAAGATAGTATATAAAAAAAAACAGTTTACATCAAAAAAATTAAATAAAAATAATACCATTAAGAGTCTTAGAATATATTGAAATGAAAAGCGACAGATATGGGTGAATAAGCGTGTAGATATAGAATAACTTTTCATGCCGTAATCATTAAAAAAAAAAGACATCAAAAGCTGTATTCATAGAATGCAATATTTTAAACATCGAACGTGATTTCTTTTTAATTATAAAACATTCTTATTATTTTAAGGTCAATTGCACTTAAGCCTTATATTTCAAAATCAAACTTATTTTTTTTATTTTATGTACTATTATATTCGTAAAAACTATTAATAAAACTAAAATTAACTGGCACCGGTGGTTTGACATTACAAATGTTTAATTTCAAATTGACATTGTAATAAAATATAGTACATACCTAAACATACAGACATAATTTTTGTATATAATTTGAACGCAACAAACTGGCAATAAGCCGTAATAAATATGTATATACATATATTTATTTTATGGTACAATTTAAAGTTTATATAACACAAACCATAATTACACAAACAAAAAAATAAAAAAATAGATAAAATCAATCACTTGTTGATGATCCCGAAATATCTAACAATATAAACCTACTGAATAAATATTATTTGTATTATTCGTAAAAATATAAAACCTATTTATTTATTTATTTATTTATTTATTTATAGGATTACCAACATAAGATACAGCTAAACATTTTAGTACAATACCCTGGTAGATTAGATCTTACTGTTCTTATATTTATAGGCAACCACTATTATTTATACAATCTAAAGTTATTTTTTTCAAAAATGTTTTTATCACTTTCTTCCTTGTTAATAATTTACAGTTAATAAGTTACAAACATTAAAAGAAACAAACAAACAATGCAGTAATGAATTATGTGTTTATTAGACATCATTTGTTACACCGAATTTAAATAAAATTATTAACACTTCTATTACTGATATTCATTTGGCGCCCTCTAGTGTCAAGATCAAGTTTATAGGCCTCTCTCGTTGTGTTTGATTCTCGTTGTACAAGCATAATCTGAATTAGCACCATATTATAAATTGCCATTTTCTATTCCTCAAAAATAAATATAAAAAAAAAACTGGATAAAATTTCCGAGTCGGTACCAGGCACGTTTTCTCCCTGATGCTGGTACATTACACAACTAAATCATTGCCTACAAGTCAAACCAAGGCTTTATATAAATATAGTATTCTATGAAATCTGTGCATCAAAGTGAGCTTATTATAAAATTTGTTACGGTTACCTGCTATTGGACAAGTCCGGTGGGTATATCAATATCGGTGATAGCATCGACGAAGCCGTCCTAGTGATTGTCGGATTAGACCGGATCGTTTTCACCCTTTATTGTGGGAAAACAAATACAGGCTTAGGTGCAAAGCATACATGTTAAGAGACAATTTTGTGTTAACTCTCTATAAGTGGTATCTACAGTGATACGAGCCGAAACGACCAAGTTATCTGTTACGGACGGGGAATGGTCTAACGTAAGATCAACATTAGTAAATACATGTCTAAAAGGAATTTATGGGTAGATACCTCGCATCAATATTACAACAATATTGCAAAGGATATAGTTTCTGTTGCGATATAGTTGTTGTGATTACTATCTAATCTACATGTTACAAATATATATTTATTATTATATTTATCATGTCTTAATAAATATTCACTACATGTATAATAAAATATTGCGAGAAAGTGCTATTAAAATATTGTTATTGGCGCATTCAATAGTATTCCTCCGTCAGATACCTAGATAATTTGGTTATAATTTTCTCTGCACCTGCCTTAATGCCGGTGATGTTGATGTCAATTCCATCGTTCCACTTAACTTTTTTTTATGCAATGAAAATTCTACTTTTTTATTTACTTTATTGTTCACTAGTTCCAAGGACCGTTAGAAAGAATATATATTATATATACATAAATATGTTTTATAGGGCCAGCACTTTAATTAAAAGGGAATCCAAGTCCAAATATATTTAGAGTAGCACTACATGCATCTTATTTTCAATCGCCGATCATCAGTTGCATGAATACCTACCAAGACACAAGGGATTGCCTGCTGATTGTGACGTCCCACATAAGGAAACGTGCGGTATTGGCAATCTTGACAATCCGTCAACTAAAAATCAAGACACAGGACGCGAGCGATCCGCGAGGTAATGTTGACGTAATAGCCGATCTACGAGCGTGACCGAAAGTAGTAATTAAATGTATATAGAAGCGTTCGGTCGCGGATGATCGGCAACCGAAAATACACTGAATGAAGCGCTAATCTTACGCTACTGTATACATGAAAAAAAATTGTAAAGCTTTCTAAAACGTGTGGTAGGGTGTCAATTTGGAATTAGATTTTCGACATCATTAGCATCCTTTTGGAGATGTTTTAAATATAGATTGACAAAGTACAAAAAGAAATTAGAATATGCCACACTAGTATAACACGTTATTTATGAGAAGCCCAATATTTTTTCGTCTTTGGGAAAAATGTTCAATTTCCATTATCGAACACGCCTTTTAAAAGAATGCGAATGATTTCAACACCGTTCTGTATATTTGATTAGTTTTGTGGGGTATCAGAATTGACATCATGGTAGCGGAAAGGAAAAATGAACCATGTATGTACGCATATCGATTCACTGGTTAAACTCAGCACACCTCGCCCAAATCGTAAGCTCCCTTAACCACATAATGTATGATGATATGACAAGAGCACATCACACATGGACGGAAGGAATTAAAATTTATATTAAATAGTTAATCTTTTAAATACATGTAATTGGGTAAGCCATGCACATAAGTGATCTATTCGGACCTACGTACTATATATGAAGATCACTTTTCTTTCCCGCTCGTTTATGACATAATATAAAGTCAAGGCAGAACCAATATACAGGAGCAAGTATAATAGAAAAAAAAATATAAAATATTGAATTAAAGTACAAGTTCAGCAGAAAAAAAAAATCATTTACAGATTACAAATATAAAAAATCTACCTCCGATAGTAGATTTTTGGTTTTTGACCAATCTTTATTTGAGAAAAATGTTTAGTTAGACTAGTAGAATCCCTTTAAAAATTTCAACTTTATCCTGTATATTCAGAGAGTAGAGAGATACTATTTCAAATAAAATATTTTTTTTTTTTCAATTAAACTTAATTATAAGCTTTTTTGAATAGCCATTTATAATGATTTTACAGCCCAGTTCGGAATGCAGTTTCAGCTGAGAAGAACGAGTAAGAAATACAGGTGTCATTTTTTCCAAATAAAGTTCAAATAAAACTTCATATTGATAAAAAGAAAGAAAATAAAAAAACTACAATCAAATTCATATTAGAAATATTGCTCCTAAATATTAGTTCTGCATACAAATTGTTATACTATATTTTTGATATACCATTCATGAACTGATCAGGTAATAGAACTCCATGCGAGTAACAAAGCGCTGTGCTATGTTTTGGCGTAAGGGTTGAAACTTACTCGATTTCCGGCGAACTGGGCAGCGTGCCTTGAATGCAAGGCTCCGAGATCTTCTTCTGGGATACAGTTTGTTTAGCCTTGTCGGCCGGTACTGAGATACTGCGATTGTAATCTATACTGTTGCCTAACCGGCCAGTGTTTTTCTTTTTCCTGTAAATGTATAAGTATAAATCCAAATAAATAATGTGCAAAAAAGAAAACTCAATATAAAAAAGGTTTTATATATACCAAATCATCTATCCAGGTTAATAAACTTTGCCTGTCGCGGAATAGACGAGATCCGTGTATTTTTTTATGCAACTTAGAATGGCAAACAAGCTGACGGCCTACCTGACGGAAAGTAGTAACTGTCACTTAGAGACATGAGCAGTACCATGGACATAACAGAGTATACTGTATCGCCCATGATACGCCCCATGCATTGCCATTCCTGAGGACTCAGGTGTTATTCCTCTATACCCTGTAAATTCACTGCCATATCCCACCCTTCAAACCGAAACACAGTCATGCAAACACAACTGCTTCACGATAGAAACATGAATAACTTTTGTACAAAGTCTCCCTCTGGTAAATCGCATTGGTGTATCGTAGTGTAATATTAATTGATTCATCATATCGTCATAGTCGTAAAATAGTGACGGATCTTTATATGTAATCTTCGTCAGATCCGTCAGTATTCCACGACTATGACGATATCATTATATCAGCCGTTAACTATTATTTCATTACTATTACATTGAAATAATAACAAAAAATTTGGCCATGTGGTTCTGGCATAGAATAGTCCACCCGTTCCTTTCCCGTGGATGTCGTAAGAGGCGACCAAGGGAGGACGAAGGATTACAGCGTTCATCTTAAAACATCTCTAAAATCTAACTGCGGTTGCCTACTAGCATGGCAACTACTGTCAAAAGTACCCAAAAGGAAGTTTATGTTCAGCAGTGGACAGTTAAAAGCTGATATGATGAATAACAAAAAGATACTAGATTCAATACTAAAATTAATAAATAATTCTGCTTTTAAGAACTATTGTAATTATTTAAAATAAAAAAATGTTGCTTACTCGCAAAGGAAGGGGTCTTCTAACAAATCAGCAGCGGTGGCGCGTTTTTCCGGATCCGAGATGAAGCAACGAAGTATAAAGCTTTTAGCTTTCTGTGACAATTCACTGGGTATTTCGGGATGCATCTTGTAATAACCCACCTTAAAGAAATAAATTTATTATGAACACAGTGTCCATACAATATTTGAAAGAGGTAATTTACCACATATACACTAATATTATAAAGAGGAAAACTTTGTTTGTTTGGTTGTAATGAATAGGCTCAAAAAGTACTGGACCGTTTTTAAAAATTTTTTCACCATTCGAAAGCTACATTATCCACGAGTAATATAGGCTAAATTTTATTTTGAAAAAAAAATAGGGTTCCCTAAAATATTTGGGTTTATTGGACAAAAGATGTAAAAAATCAACCAGAAAAGTTACTTATTTTGCGTACGCTGCCTAAACTATAAAAGATAGAACCATAAAATGTTCTAATTAATTGTAGATCTTATAAATATCTACAAAAAAGTCCGCGACACACTATACCTATCTATGTCGAGTGAGGCACAACAACAATTTTTTTTATTTAAAAATCTTGAATTTTTTTTTACTACATTTAAACGCATTCATTTTACTCATGCTATTAATCCTTATCAAAATAAATTATTTCATCACTAAGTACAGTTTATGTAGATAATATTTGGTATTTGAATAATTAAAATTAAAATTGGACGTTTTGTTTCGAAGTTATGGCGAAATTAAAATATTACGATTTCTGCTGCACGGCCCGTTGCGAAGTGAGTGGCCTTGGTGACGAGGCGGGGTGCGCGTGCGGAAGGAGAGTATTTTCATACTCCAGTATTAACCCATATCCAATCTATCGAGTTATTTCCAAAAATTGCATATTGCGATAACCAAGATGCACGCGGGCGAAGCCGTGGACGAAAGCAAGTTGTTTATAAAAAGTTGCTTCTATTTTATTATTTTTATTTTATTTATTTAACACTTTATTACACCAACATTACAAGATTTGTTCAACAATTTTCGATAAGTATAGTGTAGTACAAAAGGCAGTCTTATTGCTAAGCAATCTCTTCCAGACAATCTTTGGGTAGAAAGAATTAAAGAAATGCTTTTAGCTGTAACTATGAGGTAATTTTTTGTAACATACTTTTCAAACAGATTTATTTTATCTATTATTAAAATGTTATATGAAAATGATCACAAGATCATGAATTCACAGTAAATAACGAGTATTTTATAAAATATTAAATGAAGCATCTTGTAAATAATTTAGAAAAAAAAAAAGTATTAATAATTTAAATCACCTTAAATACAGCTGCCTGCGGTGAACCTAATTCCATGAACGGTGGGTTTCCTGTCGCCATTTCTACAACTGTACATCCAAGAGACCAAATGTCCGCCTGAAATTAATTAAAATAATAGGTGCTTTTAGATTTTTTTTACAATAACATGTGTAAAAAAAAAATCATTAAAAGCACATTGCAAATTGTGAAAGACACCGATTTTAAAGTAACTTCCAAATAACACTTATGGCAGTTAAATATAGAGGCTATAGAAAAATAACACCTGATGAAATCTTCAGAAATGGCAATATATGAGGAGTACCATGCGTTTTAAAATTTATTCTATAATACTCAAGGTGTTATTCATATCTATTGGCATGGTTACCACTTTGATAGTCAAGAGGGCCGTCACCTTGTTTGCCAAGTTGCATCTCTATTAATATTATAAATGTAAAATCGAGTATGTTTGCTTGTTACTTTATAACGCCTTAACAAATCACTATGAAATTTGGTATACATGTACTATATGTAGTGGATAAGGATATAAGTTTTTTTCCAGTGAACATATCCCGATCACGTGAACGAAGTCACGGGTAAAAGCTATTTAAACATATAGTAAGAAACTCACAGGCGCGCCGTATCCTCTTTGGCCCTTATCAATAACTTCAGGCGCCATGTACTGTAAAGTTCCAGCGAATGTTTCCGTCGAGGGGCACAAGCCGGCCAATCGTTTCGATGTGCCGAAATCTGATATCTTCACGACTCCGCTGTATGTATTCACTAATACATTATCTCCTTTTATATCTCGATGCACTATTTTCTGATCGTGGAGGTATTTTAGACCTGAAAATTGAATAATTCTCTAATTACAAATTTGTATTTGAAAATTAATTTTCAAATACAAATTTGTAATTCATTATGTCCTTCATAGCACAGGTTTGATTTTCAGTTAGAAATTTAAAATATTATAGTTATAAAATTAACTTATATATAGGTTATGGGCCCAGATCAAATGATTTTTTACAACAAAGAAGAGTTTAACTTCACTCACTCACACTCAATTGGTGATTGTATCGCACTTTACAACTATTGTGATTATCATCATCGTTACAACCATGTGTCCATTGGTGAACATCAATTACCCTCATATTTCATCGCAAAGTAAGATTCCGCACCACTGGGATCAATTCTGAGGCGTTATTTCTAATATATTAATTCTTTAGTGTCTCGAAATCACTGTTTTATAGACCATCATAAACTAAGTTTATAATAATTTAGACTTAATAAAGATTTCCAAATATGAAATTGAACCTTTAATTTTAGGGTTTAAAGAAAGGACATCTCAGAATCGACCCCATTGACTTACTTGAGCGCCCTGTAGCACTATGCTTTACTTTTTTCCATTTTAAATCTCATCACCTAGTATCAGACGAGGCAAGATCAAATACAAACTAAGTAATTAATTAAAAAGTAATCTGCACTGCGTCATTATAACAATGTACATAAATAACAATAGTACCTTCCAGAATTTGTTTAGTATAATAAGCTATAGTCGCTTCGTTTTCCTTTAGTGGTCCCCACTTCGATTTTAATAAGGCTGACAATGAACCTCCAGGTACTTGTTCCATGAATATTTTGAAATAGTTGTCTTCTGATATTGAACCGAGATACTAGAACAAATACGAAAGGTATATTTTCATAATGCAGAAGGTAAGCCTTATAAACCATGTACAGTTAAATTCTAGCTTATTAATTACAATAAAAATACCTCCTTTAAAATGGCATTCACAATATTACATTACTAATAATATAAATATGTAAGTTTGTTTTATTTATCTACATCTACACATATATTATAAAGAGGAAAGATTTGTATTTTTGTGTATATTTGTAATGAATAAACTCAAAAACTACTTTGCCGATATCAAAAATTATTTCACCATTAGAAAGCTACATTCACCCTGAGTAACATAGGCTATATTTATTGCTAGAAAAGATTAGGGGTCCTTACTAAAAGTTTAGTAACGTAACTCAAGGTGTAAAAAAATGCTATAAAATATCTTTCGTCGCGTGCGCTGCGGAAACTATTGCTGATAGAACAAATGTATGTTCTACAATATTGAAGAAAATATCAATAACTACAAAAAATTTCGGGATACTATATGTCCAACTATAATCGTTATGTCACAATAACCACTTTTTAAAATGTTGTAAAAATGACCACCTGTGCGAAGCCGGGACGAGCCGCTAGTTATCTTATAGTGTATTAATAACTTAACCAATTACTATGAAATTTGGTATACACGCACTATATGAGATGGAGAAGAATATAGGCTACTTTTTATCCCTGTCATGTGGAAGGAGTCGCAGGTAAAAACTAGTTTTAAATAAACTTTTATATATAACATCTTTTCGTCCTACTATTTTGTTCATTTTATTAACCTCTTTCACTTAACACTATTTCAAGATTTGTCTAATTAATTTGGCGACCGTTCCCGAATATGACGGTTACATGTATATCGGCACGATATTCCTGTGGCTGAACTGCGAGTGCAGCAAGATCTCCTTGTGCAGCGGCTATACATCGCCAAGGTTCTTTCAGCGATCATTCCCGAGTATGACGATACAAGTATGTCGCAACTGCATGTTACCTGTACGATGTTTCTGTGCCGCAGCTGCGAGTGCAGCAAGATCTCTTCGTGCAACGGCTGCACATCGCCGAGGTTCTTCTCCGGGATCTCTTTAACGGCGATACGGACTTGGGTGCGGAGGTCGCGCGCTGCATATACCACGCCGTATGTACCCTTGCCTAGTACTACGCGCTTGTTGCAATCATCTAATTCGTACTCGTACTGAAATTGGCATGACAATAATAAAGAATCGATATATTATAACTTTAAATAATTAATAATGTTCTAATAGTTATCTTAATATCTTTTTTAGTGTGATTTTATTTACTTAAAAGTTGTAAAAAGTAAATTGTAAAATTACATCTATAAGTCATAGCATATGAAACATAAATCAAAGTGAATTATGTCACACCTATATAAACATTTATAAACATTTACCAGAGGGAGACTTTATACAAAAGCCGATTGCTTGGGTACCTCTGTCCCATTCGTGTTTCAACCGTGAAGCAGTTGTGTTTGCTTGGCTGTGTTTCGGTTTGAAGGGTGGGATATGGCGTGAATTTACAGAAGAATAATACCTGAGTCCTCAGGAATGGCAACGCATGGGGGGTAACATGGGCGAAACAGTATACTCTGTTATGTCCATGGTACTGCTCATGTCTATAGGCGACGGTTACCACTTTCCATCAGCTTGTTTGCCATTCTAAGTTATGTAAAAAAAAAACATTTTTATCTTTCATTGCAAACAGTACCAACTCAGCCTCATAACATTTTACAAGGATCAGGAATTTGGAATACCAAAGCCGCGCATTAGGGGGCGTTAAAGTATTATGTAACGTATTTAAATAAAAAAACTAGGGAAAAATCTCCCAAAGTTAACAACTCTTTTCATTTGTTTTACGGGGAATTCCTCCACTGTATTGTAGATCATTTTTATTTTATTTTCGTTGTTGGTAAAAACAGTCACTGTATGTTACGTAATGTTTCGAAAAGTTAAAGTAGGGATATAGAAAACTGTTACGGCATATTTCATGTGGGAGAGGGGGGGTTAAAGACCTCCAAAAATTGCGTTACGTTACACTTGAACGTCCCCTTGCGTATACACAACTAAAAGTATAGTTACTATACCTTCAACTGTTCCTGCATGACACTGGTGTCTAAATCCGTCACTTTCTCATGATCCGCCGTTAATTCGCCCAACAGATCATGCAAATGTTGCCGGTACACTTCAGATGGCAAGAATATTTGGAAGTCATCTGAATTCTCACTCACGTAGAGGAAAAGGCAGCGCTCGTCACGTTTGTATAAACTGAAAGCATAATAGATAGATATATTCTCACGACCTTTTTCTTAATCTACTTCTTTTTTCGGACTACTCTAATGGTGTCAGCCACAGATTGCTGTTACAGCTTCATCAAACGCGTGCAGAGTAAATATCAAGGGTACTCCGAGTCCGCAAAGAGGTCTTACAGAGCGACTGAATGTTGACTTCAGTCAAACAGATTACAATCATCCTAACTTTCACAACATCATACATCTGTATATCTTTGGTTTCGGGTGCTCAATCACCAATGTTGTCACTTTAAGTATGTCAGCTGATCTACGTAGTGAAATGCTAATCATCATCTATAGTCATAAACAGCACCATGGACATCAAAGCGTCGATCACAATAAACATTACAACTTCTAAAATACCTGTTAATTTCACTGACATACCCCATAATATATGTAAGTTGATAATGGGGTCGATTCTGAGACGCCAATTCCATAAAACTATCTCTAAAATTAAAATTTCAATTTGATATCACAGCGAAATCTTTATTGTAAGGACCAATGTAAACTTATTTTATAATGGATTTAAGTTAAAATTATTAAAAATTAAGTTTGTGTTGGTTTATAAAAAAGCAACTTCGCAAAATTAACAAATTAATATAATAGGTTAAGAGATAAATATAGGGAAATAGCGCCTCAGAATCGAGTCCAATGACTGTGATGGCATGTTACGTAAACGACAGTCATCACTTTCCATAAGTTTTCCAAAAAAAATTACGTGAGGTTATTCTTGTGGTAATCATTTAACATTTGGTGGGCCCTATGCTCGTTTACTACTAGAATGGTATAAAAAATTACATAAAAAAATGTATTTTTAAAATATACAAATGTACCTGTAACTTCTTATCATGTCGGAAGTAAAGAGCCACCGGTGCACCTGTCGACACTCGCCACGCATGGAAGCCATACAAAGGTTGAATATCTCCACTGACTTCTGTTCTGCACCCATATTCACATTCACATACGACGGCATATATTCTTTTGTTGTTTCTAATATAAGAACCTGGTAACAAGATATTTGAAAACATTCTAAAAAGACTGAATGAATTTGATAAATATACATGCAAACAAAAAAAAAATACAAAAAAAAAGCTATATATAATAATTTAAGATTATTTATTTGTAAAACATGCGTATAAATAATATATATGCAACTATAATTAAAAAAACTACAAATTAAAATGTTAATATTAAGTTTCTAGTTGCCAGATGCAAATAAAATATTATTAATTTTGAACAATAGATGCAGTATGCGCTAATAGTTGATCAAAGACGACGCAAGTCCAAGTTTGTCGTCATAATTGGTATTCCGAATTTTATACTTAAAATTATAATCTTTAAACTTACTGGAAATCTTATCACATTTTCGCACGTTGTTTTCGTGGCTTCCACGAAATACTCCATCCAAAATTCAAATACTTGCTGCTCAGGTGTTGTTTCTTCGCTCTTTTTCCTAAATCTTTGAGAAAAGAAAAAATACATGTATATTCCTTTATATTTATATATGTATTACTTATTTTGTACAGGTATACATTATTAGTTGTTATTTTCTTTACCTAATTCAATAATTAAGTACCACGCTCACTCTTCATCCCAAAGGTGGACTGATAGAGAATGCTACTAGCATTAAATCCGCCTTTTGTACCTTATTTTATTTTGGTTAATAAAGTTACTTAAATAAATAAATAAAATTGTACAATGATATTCGCTGTATTCAGCGGCTTTACGCCCATGATTAAAAATAAATAGTACCTACGTCATCTATGTACTAAATAGCGATCTTCATTCAGACCTGTCAATAAACAGGTCTAATTGAAACTGCTGAATACAGCATGATTGAAAAACAAACATCTATCTTCTCTTATCTTGTATATCTTTTTATCTTATCATTTTCTTATCTATCTTTTCATTAAGTCCGGACGGTGTACTTAAAATATGTGTAAACAATGCAAAATTTTAAAATTAACAAATTTTAATATTTTGGTTTGTAAAGATATTTTTAAATGTTTAGATGCTTGTATGTTTGTTCCTCAATCACGATTGAACGGATTTGAATTAAATTTGGTACAAAGGCAGGTATATCTTAGCTTCACAGATATGATACTCATTATATTATACACTCATTCACGTAACCAAAGCCACGAGAAACAGATAATATTATTAATTTAATAATTTATTATTATTATTATATCAGTCGTTTTCTGTTCACTGTTGAATATAGACCTCCCCCATGGGAAGCTTTGGCATTTAAAGCCCCCATTGAACACGGGTTGGCTACCATAATTGGCTTTGGTGATTTTACATTATAAATATTATTATGTTATAAATAAAGTGAATAGCTATTTATATTTAAATTATCAATCAAACAGGTAAGGGACTAAATTTACCTATCAATCAACTCGATATTTCCAACAGTGGACTTCAGGTACCAATTAGGTGGTTTCAGTTTAAACATACACTCGGCCGCTTGTGTTGCTTTTACATAGTCTTGTGCAAGCACAGAGATCTCGAAGAATGTCGCTACATCCCAGTACTCCTTTAATGATGAAAGACTTCCCTTTCTTCCTATTAGATGATTTAGGACCATAGCTAAAGAAAAAATAAATATTATTTTAATTTTTTTATACTACTGAGGTAGCAAACAAGCATATGGCCCACCTGATGGTAAGCGGTTACCGTAGCCTATGAATGCCTGTAATACCAGGGGTATTACGCGTGCGTTGCCAACCCTGAAAAAAAAGCTCTTCACCACCCTTTTGATGTACCCCATGCTGTAGTTTCTTGGGAAAAGCTCGACAGGGAGCTTATTCAATAACCTGAGTGTTCGGAACTATTTCAAAATGGAAGTTTCTCTGCTACCCATATTTGTGCCATGAAACAGTTGTGCTAGCATGGCTGTATTTCGGTTTAAATGTGACAGGTATGACAGCGAAATTACATAGTATAGAGACATAACATCATAGTCCTCAGGAATGACAACACATAAGAATAGAAAGAATGGTAGCACCATAGTGTATTCTATAATATGCATGGTGCTGTTTTAATAATTACTATAGGCGACAGTTACTACTTTCCATCTTGTGGGCTGGCAGCTTGTTTGCCATTTTAAGTATCATAAAAGAAGTTTAAATTTGACTTGACATAGACTTCCCCCATAAATGGTGCCAGTAGTCGCTACGCTTGGCAGGCAGACACAGTTAGGCTTTTGGTGATGTACTCCCTTATTGGTCACTAATAATAATGTCACGATTTAAGTAATCCTTTGTGGAAGTTTTTTTTTTATTGGATGAAAATGGGATGGTAATCCCGCCTGCGCTAACGGGATACGCTAGCGGGGCACCAGTGAAGGGTGATAGATGAGAATGAAAACAGGCCAGTTAGTCCATCATGATGAATTCATCTGGAATTAATCAAGATAGTTTCCAGGGGGAACCACGAGGAGGTCGACTTGGTTGGGTATATTGTTAGCAATGGGATTCTTAGTCTCCATTACTAACAATCCCTTTCCCCCCTTGTGGAAGTATTAAAGAGACTTTTCAACATTACTCTTGTGATGGTCCCCCCTTTTTGCACCCCTTATAATAACTAACCTCTATCTAAGCTTACACATGGAAAACCTACAAAGCCTAAGAAAAGCCTACGAAGGCTTTACCTAATGAAATCTCATGAAAATCTAATGAAAACCTACCCTAAGGAATGGCCTAACACCCTCAATATAACCCCATACCTATATTGCCTTATATACCCCAAACACCCTATGAATCATATAACCTTTACAATAAACATATAATATTGAACAGATCTTATAGTAGAACACTTGATCATCTGGCCAGATAAATAAATGTGTGATCGTCTAGTAATGTAGGACCCGTTGTGTGTGTAATAACCAAAAGGTTCTTTAATTGGTATATGATAGGAGTTAAATAATGAAGATGATTGATAAATCTTTAAGGATTAAGAATAATTAATGAATTATACTCATAATTCATGTAACTAGGAAGTTAGAATATATTAATTTAATAGTAAATTACAGAATAACTGTAATAGAAAAAAAAAATGGGGGAGCGGTCGGGCCCCTCACACGCCCGGACCAGTGGAAGACTTTCCAACTATCTATAACTCTTCCTCCTAAACGGTAGGGAAGGGTATTACTATTTATTAATGCACTCTGATGGTAATAAGGGCATGAGTATTCTCAGTTCCAAACCAAACATAAGTACATTTACTTCAACATTACAGTGGCTCCACCAGCCCCACGATGCTTCCAGTATAAAATGGTGTTTGCCAGAGGCAAAAGGATCGGAACTGAAATCCCAGGATCACTCCGACACGAGAGCTTACTCATGGGCGATGACCCTTTCAGTCCTATATGGCGACATAGAGATCACCCACTAACAGTACGAAACTGTTTCCCAGCGTCACCCTGTTACGAGCTTACTCAATGGGGGTTTCCCTTCGGCTCCACAAGAGATCAGACCAAGAAGCGAGATCACCCAGACACCAGAACCTACTTTGTTGGGACATAACCCTTCGGCCCTATAATGTGACATTAGAGATCACCTGTGAAGACAGTCCGATAGAGATGAAGATTTGTGTGATAGGGGATACCTTCCACACCCTGGAATTGGCCAAGCCATATAATGTTGATAATTGCTATATCATAACATAGCATTGTCAATTTAATATTATTTACTTAATACCAAGAATACTCAAGGTTCAAGTTAAATCTGTTGATTAGGCCGGAGCCTAAAAACGAGTAGTCCAACCCATAGGTCGAGAGCTACTAAAAGTAATGAGTGCTATTGAATGAACTATAAGTCCAGTCAATTATATATAATATTATTGTTGATTAACCACATTGTGAATTAACCAATTATTTATTCAGAGAGATATATCTAAAGGAACTATAAGTCCTTTAAAAGACACTGATTAATCACAAGTTAACAACGTCTCGTGAATTAACCAGTTGGGTTTTCTATAAGTTTGAGGACACTAAGTCCAACAAGCTATTATTGTGTTGAGAGTAATAGAGATCTTTTGTAATATTTGTAGAGGTTTGATTAATCACATTGTGAAATAATCAGATTAAATAATTATGTAGCTTTATAGAGAGGACTATAAGTCCTAATTGGTTGTTGTCATAAGTACTGATAAATTACACATTAAAGTGCCAGGTCAATTATTATATATAGGTATATAGGAAGGACAATAAGTCCTATTTGTGTATGTTGTAGTAGTAGAGGCAATATATTGCATAATTATAATGTGAAAGATATAGATTAAATATATATTTGTATAGAAAGGACAGTAAGTCCCATACAATTATTGTAGTTGTACTATAGTTATACTATATCTACTTCCTTTTAGTGTCTTAGTAAACCTATTTACTAAGAGGATTTTTTTAGATAAACAAGTGTTTTAGTGTTTAAATCATCATGATTAAATCCCTAAGAAATTAGGTCTTTAAATAATTATCATATCATTTAAGTGAAATTTCTCATATAAATAATTCCAATATTTCCCCTACAGTTATTATAAAATAACAGAAAATTATATAAATTTTCTATAGACTTAGATATAGAATCATAACGTGTATAATCTCCTTTTGTTTGACATCTGTCACATTAATGACGTATTGAATGACGTATTGATATTGTATTGAATTTTGATTATCTATCACAACTGTCAACGTAACAAATACTAGCAAGTTTGTTTATTTGTATTTGTTTAATATAATTAAATATAAAATCATCATATATCAACCGTAATATACAACTAAATTATCAGTGACATAAATAATCATGGTTTACACCAGAAATAATTAATAGTATCCAGTAATGCTGCAGTTTTATATTCATATCAGTAGCCAAGCTTACTTTCAAATTCAAGAATGAACAGAAGATTAGAAGTTTAACATTCTTATTGCAATTGTACTTCAAATACAAATACAAATACAAATAACTTTATTTTGTTTGAAAAATGGTATAAAAGATGGAATATAATATTTAAATATTGATCACATTTTTCACCAGAATCTGGCGTACAAAATTATTTAATTGTTCCACTGTACTATGCTAATACTATTTTACTGAAATCGTCATATTAAATAAATGTCAGTATTAATAATAAATTATACAGATTACAAATTACAATCATTTGACAAATTACAAATTACATTAATTGAGTCACATATTTAAGCTTTAAAATATTCAAAATATTCATTAACCGAGTAGAAGCATTTTTCTATTAGCCATCTTTTCAGTTTCTTTTTAAATATATTCAAGGGTAGTGTTTTTATTTCGTCCGTTAATTTATTATAAATGCTTATTGTCATACAGTAGGCATTTCTGCTATACAAAGTTGTAGTTTTATAAGGTAGTACTAAGTTTTGAGGCTTCCTTGTGTTAAAATTACAGAGATCACTTTTCTTTTTAAATAAATGTAAATGTGTTCTTGCGAATATGCATACCTCATATATATATTTACATGGGACAGTAAGTACATTTAGCTCTTTGAATAATGATCGACAAGATGTACGTGAGTCAACGTTACAGATTGCCCTGATGCATTGTTTCTGTGATATAAGGGCACGGCTTGCATAATACGAGTTACCCCACAGAAGTATGGCATATCTCAAAATAGAGCTGACATAACCATGGTATGCCTGTAAAGCTGTTTCTTTATTGCTAATCCTTCTTAGTCGCCAGAGAGCATACGCGAATGAATTTACTTTATTGCATAGTTTATGAATGTGATCAGCCCAGGAACATTTATCATCCAATGAGACACCTAAAAAAGTTGTTTGTGAACTTTCTTTAATTATATTGCCTGCAAAAGTTACATTCAGTGGTTGTTTTGTCCCGTTTTTGTTAATAAATTGAATATATGTAGTTTTATTATAGTTAATGTTTAAGTTATTACTCTTTAGCCATTTTATTATTTTACTTATTGTTCCATTTATTTCATTATTATATGTTTCAGTATCATTGCATGGTATCACAACGGACACGTCATCAGCAAACAGTGTACAGTTATACTGTGTAACATGGGGCAAATCGTTAATGTAAAGCAGGAATAACAAGGGTCCTAGAATACTGCCTTGTGGTACGCCATTTTTGTTGACTTTTATGGATGATTTGTACCTGCTAATTTCCATGCTTGAGTCAAGTTTTGATATTTCTACATATTGTTTTCTATTGGATAGATAACTGTTTATCCATTTATTGACCAAACCTCTTATTCCATACATGTGGCATTTATGGACTAATTTTTGTGGGATACTGAGTCAAAGGCCTTACTCATATCAAAAAAGACCGCTGTGACATAGATTCGTTTGTCCAAACAAGACAAAATGTTGTCCATGAGAGAAAAGGCTGCTGATGTTGTTGATTTACCTTTTGAAACCCATTTTGTTCCGATTTGATCAATTTATATTTATCCAGAAATTTCAGCAATCGATTAAACATTATTCTCTCAAATATTTTTGACAAATTCGGTAAGAGAGATATTGGCCTGTGATTCCCTACTTCATGGATATTTCCTTTTTTTGGTAGCGGTCGTACAATAGAAATTTTTAAGGCTTCTGGGAAAATTCCCGTACTAAATGAAAGGTTAATTAAATAGTTCAACACTGGTGCAATCTCTCTCCTACATGCCTTTAATATCATTATCTGAATTTCATCGCAACCGGTCGACTTGCAATAATATATACATACAGTACTAATTATCAAGAACATTCCTCAAATACATGTGTGGTGAAGATTTCCCAATATGCTATTTATTTGATTCCTAACCTCTAATGTAAATTTATTAAAGAAGTGAATAATCAGTGTTAGTGTTTGCTTTATTAATATTTAAAGTAATTGTCCTAACTTGATATTAATAGGATAATATCTCCTTGGATACAGTCGGACATAAACATATAACTCAATAATTAAATTTATAAAATACTAATATTATATTTTACTACTTGTATATCTCCATACTATTCCCATAAAATATTCAAAACATGTATATTAAATATAAATCCAATAAAGATTCACTAATTTTAACCCTGTCTGAACTTGTCTAGTCAATATAGCATGAACAAACAACACACATACAAACCTTATCGCCAGGACAACTTCCTTTCTAAATATGAGTAAAATACATAGCTTCACAAGTGTCATACAGTACCAATTCCATACCGAACCCCACACCTAGTCAAGAGCAACTATAGTCAGAGAATCTTTCAGTACTTTTATTACCATTAGGAAATAAATCCACACCTATAATATCAGCATAATTAAATATTATTAGTAATCAGTAATACACACAGAATTGTTATTATCAGCTTGCTTACTACAACAAAATCAATATTAAAGTTTATAATAAATCAAGACAAAATATCTATTTAAACAATACAGGCTTGTTTACCATAAACACCCCACAGTCACATGAATTTATTTAGTAACACAATTAATAATGTATTAAAAGTATTACATTCACATAATATCACTTGCAACAGTTAAGCTGTCTCTTTGTACATCTGGTGTAAAACAAATCCCCACATGTAGTCATGGATAATCAAATATAGACTAAGAATCATTAATCTGGTCGACCGAGTAATGGTATAAAAACACTTCACCATGAAGCGTTAAGTATGAACAGATATTCCAAACCAACACTGTAATAGTGTAATAAATACAAATACTCGTATTTCATCATCATCATCGTCTCAACCATCACCAACCCACGACTGAACACAGGCAATTTCCACCGACTGACACAAGGAACGGCCCCACAATACACATAAAACAGTCACTCCAAACAATGGAGGTAGCCCACACCGCACTTGCATTTACAGGGTCGCCACTCAATAACCCCTCTCTCTCATCAATGGCTGTTTCCCCAGCAATGAGACCAGACCATAGTCACTTTAGTCTATTATTCTCAATAAATAAATACTTTATAATAATTAGATATGAAACTAGTTAGTATTGTAATAGTTCAATAGTTGATTCAATAAGTATTTTCTAAACTGGACAATTAGAACATTGAATCAAATTGATGAAGTTCTATCAAACGACCATATAATTGGATTTTGTATATGAGTAGAATAACGTAAGTACGTAAATTATATTGATGTAAACTTTGTTCAAATGTGATTGCATTTAACGATATACGCATTACCTAAAGGTATATGGACTCGACTAAATACGTATTTTAATAGTTGTTGGGAAAAATATTAAGTATAGACTTTGCCTGTGATCACAGTCAAAAATCTAACTACGTAGTAATAAATGGAACAAGCTCACCGGATTCTCCAGTCTTCTATTGATTAATTTCACACACTTAATCATAGTGATACACTAAGATCTCAAACCCTTTCATCGAACCAGTCCCTCCTAGACCTATATCCTAGTTATTTTTTTATTTTATTGCGCAGTTCCTTAAAACACGACTCCTGCGCCATTTGCCGTCCTCTTTCTATTTTTTTTTTTTTTTTTTTTTTTTTTTTATTGCGCAATCCCTAAAAAGCGACTTCCGCGCCCCCGCCGATATGCCGTCCCTTTTTTTTCTTTTTTTTTTCTATTCTTTCTCTAATAACGTCATAGATTATGTCACCGAAGGGTAGATATTTCAATAATCAGATTTAGCCTATTATTCGAACTGAACTTTTCTTTAAATTCAATTTAATTATATGTTAACGTATTTTGGTATTTTATATTAAATTGATTATCGAATTTATAAAACTTTAAAGACTCTCATAAACCTTATTAAACTGTGTTGTATGTATCTTTTTTACACCTGATGATAAAAAGGTAAACTATAATTTGGTTATATATAAAATATAATATATTTTTGTTTAATTTATTTAATTTTCTTGTGACATCCACTACACTTTGGAAACACATCAAAGGAGTTTCCCTTCTGTGTCAATATTTCATATATGGTAACGTCTTCTCTGTACGCTATTGTGAATCTTGACTTTAAAGTTTGTTTATATTAAATAGCTCAGCTTTCGCAGCGGTCACCCATAGGAACCCCTGTTTCTTTTCTATGTACTTATGGTACCAAACCTATTGTACTATAGGCGAACCGTCACACTCTCAACACGTTTAGTACAAATAAAATTATTATTTCAGCCATTAACTGTCCACTGCTGAACATAAGCCTTCCCCATAAGTGGAGTTTTGCCAGTAGTTGCCACGCTTGGCAGGCGGGTTGGCATCCGCAGTTAGGCTTCTAGAGATGTTTTAATAAGAACGCTGCTGCCCATCCCTTGCCATCCCTTAGTCGACTCTTACGACTCCCGCGGGAATGAAAGGAGTAGCCTATTCTATGCCGGAACAACACGGCAGATAAATTGATCAAATTTAGCTTAATTGAAAGAGATACTGATTTTATTTACCTATCTGTTGCAACTCTTGTGAATTCTTGAAGTCATTCCCCGCGATTACCAATAACGTGGCTAAATTTATTCCTGCATACTCGTTTCTCTGTATGTCAAAACCTTGTCTATACCTGGAAAAAAAAATTATTCACTAATTAACTTAAGAATATTTTATTATTATTTATCGCAAAAATTAATTAAATTATTCTCCATATAAACTTTGTGAAGAGAATTAATAGAGCATTTTATAATTATTATTATTAACATAGTATAGTACATATATAATAGTATAATACAGTAGGTGTACTATACCACAATTGAAAAAACCACACATTTTTTTTTAATGGGTGATAATGGAATGGTAACCCCGCCTGCGCTATCGGGATACGCTGGCGGAGGACCAGTGAAGAATGATAGGTGAGGATGAAGCAAGTCAGTTGGCCTATCGTGACGAATTCAACAAGACAATTTGTTCACGATGGTTTCCAGGGGGAACCACGTGGAGGTCGACCTAATAGAGCATATTGCTAGCAATGGGGCTGTCAAACTCCATTGCTAACAATCCCTTTCCCCCCAATGCACACATTAAAGAATATAATAAATTGCGAAAGTATGTAATGATGAATGGATGGATATTTACTCTTTCATACAATATCTTTAAATTATAGGTCTAAGGAGATCTTTGTCTGGGAGTAAATTTTCCCTTAATGTAATTATATCTATGAACAACGATTATGAAGGCATTAAGTTCAAATTATAATGCTTCTTAAAGAATTGCACCTTTTCTATTTTTTTTTAAAAAGGCGCTCTTTTTGTCTATTATTTTGAAGATATAAAATTGTATTTAGCCATTATCCGTCCACTGCTGGACATAAGTCTCCCCGTAGACATAAGGAATAGTCCTTAACCATCTGCAGCCACTGACTCCCTGCAATGCTTTTCAGGTCGTCACTCCATCTAGTGGGGGGTCGTCCTACACTGCGTTTAAAGTTGTATTATTAACGAATTTGTAACTAAATTACCAATGGATAGCGTTCTTCAAGCTCTCCATATCCGTATGTTGAGATTCAACGAATTTGTCCTTATATATACGACCACACAAACATAACATGTCCGGGAAACGATTTTCCTTTTTCTCCAACGCTTGGACACATACTTTCAATGCGTTTTCTCTATCACCTTCTTTGTTCCGCCTAAAAAAAATAAAAAAAATATATATAATTTAATTATATATATAAGTATAAAATATATCAACTTTATGTAAAGTAAATACAAATGATGCTTAAATTCTTATTATTAATCTTCTTACTAATATTATAAACTTTAATGTATGTTTGTTTATCTTTTAACGTTTTCACAGTCAACCAATCACGATAAAATTTTATTTAATATACATACATTGTATTTGGGATGGTAAAAGAAATAGGTTACTTTTACTACGATTAATCAATTTAGTAATATCACTATTACACGAACGAAGTCACGGATACAACTAGTATTAATATAAAAACGGTAACTATAAAAAAGGCCAGAACATATTGCTTGACCGAAATAAAAATTTACCTTCACCATACCAAATCCTATATTATGTTCATATTAAACAAATCTATAAATGGGGAGGGGGAGATTGTTTGCAATGAGGAATGGTTTCTATTCCTATAGAAACCATAGTGCTTAATTCCAGATGTCTTCATCACGATGGGCTAACTGCATTTTCATCCTCACCTATCATCCCTTACTGGTACTCCACTAGCGAATACGTTAGCGCAGGCGAGGTAACCATACCATTATCGTCCTTCATAATTTTTTTTTTGAAATTATCACAGTACTGTTTTTTTTAAATTATGAATAAGTCTTTATATGAAATTACTAACAACAGGACACATGGCTGTGTCATACGTTTAAACTTATAAACATTTTTTTTTATTATTTTATACAGAATCTCATAATAAATAAAAAACATTGTCTTTCTTACACATGGCTTAAAATCATAATTATACAATCTTTTACCCTTAATAATATCATAAATGCGAAAATGAGTTTGTTTATTTGTTACCTTATTGCGTTATAATAGTTAATACAACTTAGAATGGCAAACAAGCTGACGGCCCAGCTGATGGAAAGTGGTAACCGTCGCCTATAGACATGAGCAGTACTATGGACATAACAGAGTATACTGTTTCACCCATGATACCCCCCATGTGTTGCCATTCCTGAGGACTTAGGTGTTAATCCTCTGTATCCTGTAAATTCACGCCATATCCCACCCTTCAAACCGAAACACAGCCATGCAAACACAACTACTTCACGGTAGAAACACGAATGGGACAAAGGTACCCAAGCAATCGACTTTTATACAAAGTCTCTCTCTTAGTAATAATATCCCGGTCACGCGGACAAAGTCACCGGTAAAATCTGGTACTAAATACAAAATAAACATTACCAGTATTGTTCCAATATACCTACCTGGGGGGAAAGGGATTATTAGTAATGGAGACTTAGAATCCCATTGCTAGCAATATACCCAACCAGGTCGACCTCCTCGCGGTTCCCCCTGGAAACTATCATGGTTAATTCCTGATGAATTCATCATGATGGGCTAACTGGCCTGTTTTCATTCTCATCTATCACCCTTCACTGGTGCTCCGCCAGCGTATCCCGTTAGCGCAGGCGGGGTTACCATACCATTTTCACCCATCAAAAAAAAAAAAAATATACCTACCTACTAGCAAAGCATTATTAATGACGCCCACACATTCACAACAAGCTTCATTTAGTTGACAATAACAATAAATATTACGCTTATTAGTCATACATTAGCATATAGCATTCTCTTACCTATTCATAGCGAACGCGTACATAAATCTTATAATTGGCATTTTAACATAATTCTTGCCACTTATAATTGTTTTTAAATCGTCCACAATCTGCACTATTGCGTCATAGTCTTGTATCTCTCGGAAAGATATGAGCATGTTCAATATAGTGTCGCCCGATAGTACAGCTGGATCGTCGAGTCGACGGCGCATTGCGTGCAATACATTCGCCAATTCTGGGCCACTGTAAGTTTCGCGCGCTTTCCGTAAATCTGACAGGAATTTTTCTTGTAAATGGGCTCTGAAAAAAAAGAACATTTTAAATGTATTATTTTTAGGGTTCCGTACTATTACTAGCAGTAATTGTCTGTATGTCAAGGCCCTTTTTCTCAGGCACGTGTTAAGATATCAATCTGAAAATAATATCAAATACTCAAGTGTCCTTGACGCTATGAAAAACTCCAACTCCAAAGTGAATCCAAAAGATTTAACATTTACAAGGGGATCAAAATCTATAGGGTATTTTTCGATGACCTAGACTCTTCAGGATTCTAGATCTTCATGAATCATCTAGGTCATCATCATGGTCAAGCATGAAGCAATATCGTACAGCTTAAGAAATGAATAAATCTGAAAACCGTAAATTTATAGTTATCTATCTATCTTTATTCACGTCAGGTCCCTAGCGTGATAGATAAATTCGTGTCTCATAAAAAAATTGTAATTGCATTTTTATTTCAATTTTTATTTATACGGAACCCTCAGTGTGCGAGTCTGTTTTGCACTTGGCCAGTGTGTTATAATACGTAGGATAGCAAACAAACTGATGGTTCATCTGATGGAAAATGGTAACTATCGCCTATAAATATGAACAACACTTCCGCTGACAGACATAAACTCCACTCCCACGTTTTACTCTCGTCTCCGTTTTGCTCTCAATTTCTCCAAGATTTTATATGACAGTGAAATTATTGAGTACTAATGAAATACCATAGAAATGACAACGTACGAAGAGTACCATGGGCATCACAGAATATTCTGTGATAAGCATGGCGATGTTCATGTTTATAATCTACGATTACTTTCTATCATATAGGCAGTCAACTTCTATGCCATTCTATGTATATTAAAAATAATTATTCTGTTAAAATAAGAAATTAATATTTTTATTTATTTAAAAAAATATATAAAAATATTTAAAGACCATAACAGAAAGAAAAATAGAGGGCAAAAGAGGAAGGGAATGGGTGAAAATGATATGGTAACGGTGACTCCGCCAGCTCTAACGGGATACGCTGGCGGAGCACCAGTGAAGGGTGATAGATGAGAATGAAAACAGGCCAGTTAGCCCATCATGATGAATTCATCAGGAATTAACCCTGATAGTTTCCAGGGGGAACCGCGAGGAGGTCGACCTGGTTGGGTATATTGCTAGCAATGGGATTCTCAGTCTCCATTACTAACAATCCCTTTCCCCCAAGAGGAAGGGGAAGATCGAGAAATAATTACATGGGACAGATAAAGGAGTACTAGCGTCATGTCGTATGTCGTATTTCAAATTATTGTCGTAGGTCAAAGATATAGCTGGCTAAAAGAGAATGCACGAATTAGTTGCCCCGATAAGAGGAAACTCTTAAATAAGATATTTTTATTAAGAAAACGTAATTATAAAATAAAACATAATTTTAAGTAAACGCGTAATTTTTCTTTATATTTTTTGTATAATCTTACATGAGTAATGTTATTCGGGTATCAACTTCGATACATTGTTTTTTATATTAGTATTTTAATACGACTTAAAGTCTAAAATATATTTTAAGTATCAAAAGCATGGTCAGTAAACAAACGATATAATTAAGAAATTTGCATATTCATTATGTATATACTATGTGTACATCGACACCAAAAATATCTAATTATATAAATGACCTTGAACTATAAGAATGATCGATACGAAAGGAATATCAGCGTATTTATAATTATATATTGTCACTGTGAACAATGCCAATAACATAATTCAAATAAAATTAGAATATGTGCAGACCAATTATATATATATATATATATATATATATATATATATATATATATATATATATATATATATATATATATATATATATATATATATATATATATATATATATATATATATATATATATATATATATATATTATGTTAATTAACGTATCAAAGAGTACCTAATAACCTAATATTTTTACAAAAAAAAATACTAATGTTTTAGGAAAACTAGTATAAACGAAGATATTAGATAAGTTAAATTAAGTTTTTATTAACAAGCTGATGGTCCACCTGATGGAAAGTGGTAACCTATAGAAATCAAAAGTACCACGGCCAACAGAGTATATTGCGTGGCCCATTATACCCTTCATTCCTAAGTTATTATTCCTCTATACCTTGTAATTTCACTGCAATATTCCACCCTTCAAAGCGAAACACAGCATGCAAACACAAGTACTTTATGGCAGAAACATGAATGAAACAGAGATACTCAAGACGAACTTTGTACAAAGTCCCCGTCTGGTAAACTAATTATTAACTTAGAACCTTATGCTTTTAATCAGAAAGTACAATTTGTAACTTACTTAGTCTGAATTTCAACATCTTGCAGTATATTCTTGAGACGCAAAGTGAGGTGCTGTTTGGGATCGGGTGACTCTTCCCCCTTAAATTTTGTAGCTGCCGGATTCGTAACAACACATGTGTTCATATCTGAGAGTTTGTATGAGATAAACAGGAAATTAGGAAGAGATATCTGAAATGAAAAGAAGAGTAGGTACATTAAGTGTATATACATTTTTTATTGCAAAAGTAGCAAACAATCATAGTCTTTTTAATGGATGAAAATGGAATGGTAGCCCCGCTTAGGCTATCTATATATATATTAGGATAAATGAGAATGGAAACAGCCCATTGTGGCAAATTTAATAAGAATTAATCACGAACACCAAGAGCAAGTTAAAAGGCCGGCAGCACACCTGCAATGCCGCTGGTGTTGTGGGTGATCATGGGCGGCGGCAGTCACTTACCATCAGGTGAGCCGCATGCTCGTTTGCCCCTGTGTTGTAAAAAAAAAAAAAAAGTACGTGGATGTCGATCTGACAGGGTGCATTGCTAGCAATAGAGATTAACACCCCTATTAATAACAATCCCTCCCCTGGTTTCCAGAGAAAACCGCGTGAATTGTTAATGCTTCCTTCTAGGAATGTAATCATGCCATTCATATAGGTACGTATATCGACGTGATTGAAAACAGTTTAAAAATAAATATGTTTACCAAACTATTAGGAGACTGTTATTAATAAATCCAAGCTTTATTAAAGGGCAATTGAAATGCTACGTACTTATAAAAAGTATTATATGTAGGTAGCAATTTATTTTTATGACTCCATGTATATGAGTCTAATACATACAAAAAAATACCATTTTTTTAATGGATGGAAAATGGCCTGTACTATAGGAATAAACTGGCGGGGCTGGTACCCCGCCAGTTTATTCCTAAGAGGTGACAGGTGAGGATGAAAAGGCAGGTCAGTCAGCCCGTCGTGACGAATTAAACGATAAATTAGTCACGATAGTTTCCAAGGGGAACCGCGTAGAGGTCGACCTGATAGGATATACTGATAACAATGGGGACTAACGTCCCCATTTCAAACAATCCCTTCCCCCTACATATGGTATTAGTTCAGGTCAAAGTTGTAATAAAAAAAACAATACTAATCCAAGCTATAGACGTAGTATAACGTACTCAAAGAGTCGAGCAGAACCGTAGATAAAAATTCCAAGGTAATAATAAGTGTAATTTAATAAAGTATCAACGTGAATAGCTCTAGGCAATTGGCAAATTGAGTGCGAAAACATATTACTATAAGCAATGTAGGTTTTATCTATTCGACTATTATTTATTCTGTGGTTGCGGTGAGAAAATCCAAAATGTATATTACAATATAAAAAACCTAATCTAAACTTGGAGGACGTTAAGACAAAGTACCTATCCATAGTCTACTTTAATAGAATATAATAAAAAGGTAATTAATAGTTTTGTTAAAATTATTGCTAATTTGAATTAGTAATAAATATAAATATGTAATTAAAAGCTGTTTTTATTTTTACTACTATTGGACATTGGCACTGTCTTTATTAAGTAATTATTTATATGTTTACATCTTTATTAAGTTCTATTTAAATAGACTATAACTACTTAATAATGAGGAAGCCTTTGTTAGTAATGGGGATTAACAGCCCCATGGGAAGCAATTTACTATCCCCATTCTACTGCTAGCCACCTAAAATCTATCACAATGAATTTCTAGAGGATTCATCATTATGGACCAACTAACCAAACTACATCCTCATCTATCATCCCTTGCTGGTATTCCACTAGTGTAAATCATTAGGGAGAAAACTTGATATTGATTTTATTTCAAATTTGTATATTGCATTTTTCGATATTTGCTTCTTATGGCATCCTGAAGTTGAAAGATTATAATAATATATAATATATTCAATATTATTCAATGAAAAATAAACAAATTTGTTGAAATTATCACATAAACACTGTCTAAATGAAAATAGTAACAAATAGAAACAATTAATTAATCAATTTTTTATTTGTACTATAAGTACATTAGCAGACTGAATTATGATTTAGTCAATTATTGGTTTTAATTTACATTTTCATTAAGTCCTATTGGGACAAATTACACTGCATACATATTTATTTTCTGTACAAATAAAAAACAATGCTATATTACCTTAAGACGTAATGTGGAATCAGGATCAATGTCATTAAACAGTAATACATTATGCTTCATATCAAAACTCTCTCTCACACCGAGATGGTATAACAATGTAATCTGTTGTACTTGTACACTTAAATCAACAATTGCCACATCTGCATTGTAAAATGTGTCCAGCACAGTTGTCTCGCCAAAGTCCAGCTTTTCATACTGAAATTAAAAAAAAATATATATATTTTGATTTCTCTAAGAGTACCCACTAACTGATTTCTCATTCTTGTAGAATCACAATAAATAAATGCTACACAAACATACTAATAGACTAGTTATCAAGTTAGGATACCTCATGTTATGAGATACCAGACAAACCTGAATATCCTGAATACCTAGACCTGAGCCATTTTTTTTTTATTCTAATTTTTGTTGAAGCTTCAGCACACCTGGGCGACTACGCCAGCCCCTTAAAGAATGTATGAATGTTAGACAATTTAATTATTAAATTGGCCCAACTGAAGCGAATTCGAGATTTCATTATGTAAAGCAAAGTTCTTACTGCTGCACCATAGACGTTGCCACTACTATTTATTCAGTGATGCATGGTACTGTTCATGTCTATAGATAACAGTTACCACTTACCTTCATGTGGGCCATCAGCTTGTTTGCCATTCCATATTTTATAATAAGTTTTCTCATTTTTTGTAGTGTCTCACAATTTCTAAATGTAAAAACTACAAAGCTATTGGCTTCTCAAGCCATTCTGAACATCTTTTGATAATGCATTGCTCGTTAAGTCTTCAAATTCCTATTAAATTACCTTTCAAATATAATTATTTGATACTAGCAATCTGGCCTGGCTGTGCACAAGAAGTTAGGATTTTCGAAAATAATATATATATGTTACTTGCTGATTTTAATTTTCATTATATAATGTATATTATTAATAATAATATCACAGTATAAGTAACAGTACTGAAGTACAATATGTACACTCCTTGCCAGTGGCGTAACTATGCCATTTGGGGCCTGTGGCTAATTCTTCTGATAGGGCCCTATCATTAAAAAAAAATACTTTTCAAGTAAAATAAAGTACTCAGGTACAATGTAAAAAAAATACTTCTGAGCTCGCGGCCTTTTGTGCCGGGGCCCTTTTGGGTCGGGGGCGTCTGGCATTTTGCCAGCCTTGTTACCCTATTGTAACGCCACTGCTCCTTGCCGCCCGCTGTGATCTAACTTCACCCCCTCTCAAACATGCATCAACAACATAGATATACATTGGATAAATACATATTAAACCAAGATATATTTTATAATCTGTCTGTGTACTAAAATTCTTTCAAGACCATTTAACCCTGATAGAGTAACAAACAGTATCTTTATAAACTTACAATAATAACAATATAAAATGTCAATTTTGAAGATAGCAATATTTAAATTCCTATTATGAAATAAAGAATTAAACTAATATTATAAAGTGAGAAATTTCATTTTTTATTTGTATCTGATAAACAAAAATAAACTTGTTCTTCATCTATAAAAAACTACATAATCAGCAATAAATTTATAAAAACAGACTGGATCACTACTGTTGAACTATAATATTATTATATATTATATTTTAATGAAATAACTACTCTTTTAACTTATGTGTAATTTGGTTGAAAAAATATTATTATTATATATTAAATCCAAGAACAACAGTATAAATATATGCAACAACATTAATTACTTTATATTTGTGTATATTTTTAAAACCTTAGGACCTTATAGGATATGCAATGCTAGGTCAGTCTATCAAATTGGACTGGAATTAACATTAAAATATATTGGAAAATATAAATATAATATTTTAATCTTTCTTAAAAAAGCTTACCGTAATATAATGGAGATTTGCATTGACTAATTCTGAAGCCATTCGCACTTCCTCCAAAGCCCTTTTTCTGTGCGATAGGTTTGTTGATTGGGTGATATCCAAAACACATGCAATGTCCATACGGGGTCGCTGATTGGAGTTACCAGGCTGTACAGTAGCATTAGAGCCATCACTGCAGATACTTTCGCAAATGCTTCTCACTTCCCCTAAAAATTAATATAGAAAAATCAAAATAATATTGTTGCGAACCAAAGTTCACTCTCTAATAACAAAGTTCAACAATAGTACCCGTATCTTCCAAAGCCGTGGTGTTTGCAGCGCCGAATGTTATCATTTTTTCACTTATATTTTAACATTTGGACAGTTTATGATCGCATTTTTTCCACTTAATTTACGCAGTTTATAAATAAATCTCATAACAAGCTTCGACAAGCTGGTTACTTGTTATTTAACACTAGTGATGTGAACTGCATTGACTGAATAAATGTACTGAATAAATGTTCTGTTCGTAGGAGACTTTAGTTCATTATTTAACGATTAGTTCTTTCTAAACATTCAATTCACTCTTTTACTAAAAACAAGGGCTTTATCCCTTTTATTACACTTCTGAACTCTGAACTGAAGCACAGATTAAAAAAATATAATGCATTATGTACAGATTAATATTCTATTGTGTTAGGTATTGTGTGTATATGGCTTAGACGTGTACAGAACAAAAATTTTGGTGTTCTTAGAGTCCTACATATCGACAGACTGGCAAAAAATAAAAATAAAAAAATAAAGAAAAAAGGATACACTAATGTATGTGTTCTATAAATGTATGCACCAAATAATTTTAAATTTATATGGAAGTGAAGTTGCAATATTTACCTATTTTTATTGTTATATTTATAATTTTATTTTCATTTCATGGACGTTCAGAACTTTATTTATGTTAATTTAGATACATTTTTTTTATCAATTTATTTTACAATATTACATTTATAAGAATAAAGGTATAAAGCGTAATTATATGAAATATGTGCAGTTTCGTGGTTCTTTTTTCTAATTCCTAAATGTGACTTGTTTAATTTTAACTACATTCATTTAGAAATAATCCCATTTCGAATAATAAAAATAATTAGAACTTGTTTTATTCCGACTCCTGCTAAATCAACTTCGAGATTATACTGTGTAAATTAATGTCTTTAATTTTCTTTTCTATCTCGCTTTAATATACCTACATATTATTCTTAGATGATATTATATTTTCTATCTTTAACATTGGCAATTTAAATAGGATTATTCACTAACAGCTTTACCATACCATACTAAATCAGCCTTTAACTATCCACCGTTGAAGACAGGCCTCCCTCATAAAGGGACATTTTTGTCAATAGTTGCTACATTTGATAGGCGGGTCGTAAGCTACAGTTAGGTTTTGTTGGTATTTTAAGAGGGACGCTGCTTCCCATGCCTCGCCCTCCCTTAATCGACTCTTACATACAGGAAAGGAAGGGGTGGCCTATTCTACACTTACATGAATAAATTAATGAATACAGCTCTGCAGAATTAAACATGAAATTAATTGATAATATTAATAATATAAAACCGTAAAATATCAACATAATTGGTTACTAAATTTTTATTTTTAAAATGATAGTCTATACTTGATATTTCACAATTTTTTTTTAATTGTGTATTAGGGTGAGATCCATAGAAAGTTGTTCACGTATACGCTAAAGGATTTAAGTCAATTGCCAGGAGTTATGAATAGAACAAATTTAAATTATTTTCTAAAGAGTATAATAAAACTAAAACTTTCAAAACAAAAAAATATTGTAATCCAAGCAAAGCTATGAATTGCTCATTAGTCGAAATAAAAAATATAAGCGAATTTCTGCTATTTTCTAATTTCATATTGTTGCTAATTCAGAAGTGTTATAATTCCTTTGCGCACATTAACATTACATACACGAATGGAAGATGAAATGATGATTAGTGATTTTTTAAACTACCAAAAACATCTTCATAAATATTTTATTTATTATACTATAGAAGAACGATAGAGAAATAAGAACGAATGATTGTTATATTGGAAACTGAACAAATTGAACTACTCAAAGAACTGTAGAACTCTAACCGGCAGGCCTAAGAACAACCTTGAGATTATAGAATACTAGTGAGATACCTTTGATTACTATAATTAGCGTCATCTGTGGTCAAATATGTGAACAAAATAAACGTACAATGACGTTTGTTTATAGCGCCATCTTTAGTTAACTATATGTACTGAAAGGTATTTTTTATGGGTAAAGATGAAATAGTAACTCCACCTACGCGATCGGTATACGTTAGCGAGATACCAGTGAAGGGTGGCAGGTGAGGATGAAGGCCTAACATTATTTATTATTACTAACACCTATTATATTTATTGAGAACGGGCGAGAGGGGATATATATATATATATATATATATATATATATATATATATATATATATATATATATATATATATATATATATATATATATATATATATATATATATATATATATATCCGTCTGCGCTATTACTATTTACTGTTTGAACTACTATTCCTATTGCTAGCACATACCCTTATCAGGTAGATCTACACGTGGTTTCCTTCTGGAAACCATCGTGCTAAATTACAGGTGTATTCATCGCGATGGGCTAACTGACCTGTCTTTTCATTCCCACCTATCATTCCTCATTAGTGTCCTGACAGCGTATATCATTAGCGCAGGCGGGATTACTATTTATTACTTTCATTATCATCCATTAAAAAAAGAAACTATCCCGTTATTCATAAAAACGTCAAACCTCTTATAAACCTATTTTAGCTATTGAAGTGTTTTGTCTTTGTCTTTTGTGCTAATTTCTCAATTTTATAGAGAGTGACAAAACACTATTAGTTGAAAAAGTCTTGTAGGACGTTGTAGTTTTTATGAATACGAGGGTAAGAGTTTAATTAGGATATAATATAACCTACCAGAGTACCAAATTTAATTTAAACCGTTTAAGGATGATTGGATAACAGATATCCAAACCTATCATCCAAACTTATATTGTATATTAGTAGGATTAATCTTGGTACAATTATTCAATAACGGACGGACTGGGGCGGCCAAGCTGAATGAGGCCTCCAGTTATTTTTTTTTTATCGTGTATTAATGTAATTTTACAAGCTTTTTTTTTCATTTCGCATTTGTATGTATAAATATTTATGTTTATTTAGTTACATAGAATATGGATGAGGAAAATGGAGGCGTTTAGAAAACTAAGAACAAGCAATAAGGTATTTTAATAAGAAAAGCAATAGAATCCAAAACAATAAAAAACTTATGACTGACTGTCTGTATGTTTGTTCTGGCAAAATCTACTGCACTAATGATGTTTTCACAGTTTTACTTCTGAAGGTCTTACTTAAAATCTAGTGTATATTTAATGTTGATACGCTAATTAGAAGTAGTTGCCTATTTCCGAAATCCACTCGTACAAAATTATGAACAAAACCTAGCTTACTATAAATATAGACAAGTAAGAGAGATAATAAAACAAAGTTATGAATTCGTATAAAATTTATTGTACAACATTCTCTTCTTCTTAGAGAGATCACAGTTAGACAGTTTCTTTAGGTACACGTAAGTAGGTAAGTAAATAATTTAGTAAATTACATACATAATATATCTAATTATATAAATTTATTTTCGTTATTATCATCAACTATCGTCATTAAGTTCCCAATCAAAAATTAAAATAGTCATTTGTTAAGGTGAAAAAAAAAAAAAATAACGAACATCTAGAATTGTGAATTTTGATCTGTATAGTTATTTACAATATTTTCTTTTAAACTAAATTTCCATTAAAATTTTGGTATTACAGTTAATATGCAGTACTTATACTGTATATAAACTATTTTCAAATTAGTAACATTAATAACATCTAATACTTGTTAAATTTGTACTTTGTATTGTATTTTTACATTTATTGTCTTTGGTTAAAGTAATTTTAAACAAATTGTGTCAAATATGAAATGTAAAATAAATATAATACATCTTTTAATTTTATATTCAAATATAAAAATATAATATAAAAATCCAAATGTGGCACTCAAATACATTTGTTAACTGTCGCTGCGTTGTGGTGTACAAATAATTGAGTATATTTTTAATTACTATTGAATATGAATTACAAATCAAATATTATATACGATACTTAGTTAATAACATTAATTGCCTACTACATAAATTTATTTTTCAAAATGCTTTACAACATTTTCTTATAATTTCTATTCTAAGGCTTCACTTGCCGAGAATGATTTTGCGTGAAGCACCGAAGTTCTGTCCTGATTGTGTTGCCACTTTGTTGGTGCCAGCCTGAAGACCGATTACGGTCTGCCCTGCCCGGAGCACATCCTCACTGAACTCCCGACGGTTTTCTTCAGCAGGCTTGGGGCCTAAGAAAGGACCACGCCATTCTGGGTGTTTGTAGGCCTGGAACAATTAGGTAAATTCATTTAGTTACAAAATACTGAAGATGAATTTAATGTATTAAAATAAATGAAGGTTCCATAGAAAAAAGTAGCTACCTTAATGGTTATCAAATTTGTATGGTACTTTTGAGTGCCGTATTCTTAGTTAAAATTCAGACTTCAATTAATAACCTTATTAGGGGCTCTTGCATTTAAAATTTAAAATAATCTACTTCTAAGTAATAGAGCTACGACGATGAAATTCGTTGCCAGGCAGATGCACAGTACATCAAATTAAGGGCAGCTGACCGAGAAAAAAGATGGCAATTATTTTTGCCTGGGCTGGAAAAATTGCTGAATCCGAAATCGTAACTTTGATAGTTAAATGAAAATGATTTTTGAACCTCTCATATAAATCTCGCCATACATTATCAATTACGAGAAATTTCCATGGGCAAAATTGTTTAATTTCACGAATACAATAATTGGTTTTTGACATCCTAAACTTTTGTTGTTTACTTATTATTTATAATGATTCATATAAATAACGATATAATCTTACCGTTCTGCCTAAAGCAAAGATGGTCTGTGTGACGAGCGCAATGTTTTTCTGGTCCCAGAGATCGGTAGTTTGGAAGAGATCCACATCAGGGACTCCGTATTTGACACACGCCTTTTGAAATCTGTAAATGGATAAGTAAAATTCATATTACACTTTACCTATATTAGCATAGTTGTTGTCAATTTATTCCTTTCTTTCATAAAGATGATACAAATAAAATATAATATTTTTTTTTGTGTGTATGTGTTAATTATGTCAATAGCTAGGTACAATTTACGAACAAGTATATCAGGAAAATAAAAGTCATGTTCTTTATTAAAAAAAATATCGTACACTCACATAAACCTAATTATTTCGATTTCAGTCTGTGTGTAGTATAGTAACTTCATAATCACGTTACTTTATAGTTAAGCAAAGTTAGAAGTTAATGGTCTGTCCATTATGTCAAATGGTAAAGAGCCAAATTAGATTATACCTGGATAATCCACGAATATTTTGTGTTCACAATAATCCTCAGTTTTACGTCATTTGACGTCATACCTATTGTCCACGAGTGTAAAATCCATGCACGAATGTGTGAATCAACATCTACCGGTGTTGTTCTTGACGTCAGATGATCAGACCATAGCGCTCGTGAATAGCAATATTTGAAAGATACCATGGCATTCATAGTCCTATCAGTGATATCCATAGTGTTGCTGATGTCTATTGGTTGTGATTATTAGTATCAGGTAGATGTCATATTTATATTATTATATATGTAGATGTCATATGTCCGTCAGCTGATTTATCGTACAATCCTTCTTTGCATTACTCAATTATGATTTGAAGGTTTGGATATGGCAGGGAAATTACTAGGTACAGAATAGAACCGTTATACCTTAGTTCTCAGAAATGGAACCGCAAGTGACCAGTATCATGAGCATCATAGTGTATAAGATGATATTCATTTCTATAGGCGACAGTTACAGCTTTTTATCAGGTGATCAGCTAGCTTGTTTGCTATTTTATTTCAAGTTACATATAAATATATGATCTAAATGACGCAAAGGTGGACATGTTATTTTGTGTACGAGTACATCATGTTCTAGATTCGATTCTCGGTCAGGCCAATTAAGGAAACGAACTTTTCTGCGTTAACTCGAATTTAGGTGGTGTTCGTCGCCTGGTCAATACTAACATTAAATATTGTTAAAAAAAAATAAAATAAAAAAACTGTGCATTTGATACATACTGACTAATGTTGTCCATGAACTTATAATCTCCGCCAGAGATGTTGACTTTAGTGATGATACCAGGCTGTAGGCGATTCATCAGTTTGCATAGAATGATGCCATCGCGAAGAGCTTCTTCGTATGCAATGCCTGGAGGGAACCTTTCGCCGATGACGGCTTCGATCCAACTCTGTGCCTCGGCTTCTTTTTCTGGTTCGCGTTTACCAGCGCACTGGAATTAATATACATATATATTTATATTATTAGAAAACTGCTAAAGTACTGCTACTTTCCGTGTAATAGGCGAAATGGGGGGATTGTCAATAATAGTCTAGAAATTTCACTACATCGACCTTCAAATGGTTCTATCGAATTCTTTACGGTGGATCAACTGACATGAATTCATTCTAATTTATCATCATTCACTGGTACCTTGTCAGTGAATCCCAATAGCGCAGGCGAAGTTATCATTATATTTTTATCAAATAAAAAACTACTCTTGCAAACATAGTTTAAAGTGTGAAGTGGCCTAGATCTTCATTGTTCACGAAGGACACTGATTCTTACCGACCTACGTCATTACACTAACTTTACAGTACGAAGCAGATGGAGCATGAGAGATGGAGCCACAGTGAAGCATTTTCCTACTAAGCAGTAATGATTCTACATCTGCTAGTTTTAGAGTACTAACTTTTAAGCTAGATTTCTACTATAATGCCGGTCTCGGTTCGCTCTCGATCCGGTATCGGTCTGCTAAAATATCACTACGCAAGAAACAATATGTGTATACACACTACAATCCAGTTCTGTTCCGATCAATCTCGAACTGTTTCTACTGGCCGTATCAACAGCAGAGCGAGAGCGAACGAAGACCGGTATTATAGTGGGGTTCCAGCTTTATCGTATTACTGTGTCATCACTCATTTTCATGCTTAGGACGTCGTAAATAAGTGATTCAAAGAACAAAGCACAGTGCATTCCGGTGGTTTGTGGTTTATTTGGGTTTTATTTCAAATTTTCCTTTTCTCGCAGAATTAAAAGAAATAAAATGAACCAAGCAGTCTGGCTAGCGTGGAAATCCTTATCCTTAATATAATAAATTCGAAAGTGAGTTGTTGAAAAGAGTGTTGTTACATCTTAGCATCTTAACGACTTTATACTTTAGCAATTATAATTTGGTATACTATTTGGTATAAATATAATGTAAATAAGAAAAAAACATAAAATCCTTTTCCAAAAGTATTTTATTCATTTCTAGTCAGAAGTCTATAACTAAAGTTTCATACTTCTAGCTTCAATTAGAACAGAACTTCTTTACAAATATTCATCTCCAATAATACCCTTTTAGGGGTAAATTCTTCAAAAGCCAAATACATACTAATTTTATGTTTTGAACCTAAATCTAAAATTACACGTCTAACTTCTACTCATAAACTGACAAATTTTCGCCGAAATTGGGCCGGGTTGTTGGACTCCCTACAATATGGTTGAACATAACGATGACCGGCTTATCTAAGATACTCGTGAACAGGTGCTTCTTATAGGGACTGATCTGTCCAAGAATGCTGTGATTGGTTATAGCTTTTACGTAAGATGAATTTTATGATATTCATTGTACCTATACAATTTTTTTATAAACTTAACAAGAAGCAATAGCCGAGTTCCTAGCCCGTTCTTCTAAGCTGAAATTGCATTCAGAATTGAACGGAAAATTCATAAAAAATGATTCGTCGAAAATTCTTATAATTAAGTACACATAAAGTATACATAAATAAAAATAAAAAAGATTATTTGATCTATACAGAAAGGAAAAAGACATAGGCTACTTTTTATCCCGATCGAGAAGCATATCCCGGTCACGCGGATGAAGTCACGAGTAAAAACTAGTATCGATATATTACAGTTAGTATATTACTCTTATAGGAGGCAGATCCGTGCTTAATAATGGGATTAGTTGATATCAATTATCAATTCTGAACTATGTTAATAATTTTTTTGCAACTGATTTACTTCTGTGATAGTTCCATATAAAATGTCAAAATTGAGATAGTTTTTTTTAAAAAAGCATAATGTCTTGTCCATATGCAAAATTTTAATCTTAAGATATATCTGTTCAGATATTGTTGAGGACCTTATTCCTAGGTTGATATCCTCTAGAAATCGTTCATATCTTATTACCCTACTGCTGGCTTCTGCAGGTAAAAGACATTTTAATGGATGCATTTTCAGCAGGAAACCCGGGTGCATTTTATTATATTTTTGTCATTCATTTATTTAAAGTATGTTTCAATAAAAAGTTTTATATCTGCAAAAGTCAGCGACGGAATGTCAGAATATTACATCTTTGGCTTTAGGGAATTTCTAATTTTACTGACATATTGCTGCACAGTGTAAGGGAAACCTTTAGACTTTGTAATATATAGTTCATGGCGTCCGTATTTCGTAGATATTCTTGTACAGTACATTGCTGATAAGATAGACATATTTAAAACTAGCCGTTGCTTGCGGCTTTGCTTGCGAAAAATGAAGGATAAAAGTTGGTATGGAAATTTGTGATTTTCGAGCATCAGGTTTCATTCTGGTTACAAAATGTGTATTTTACGATTTTTTTTTTTTACTTTAAATTGATGATGATTTTAATAATCATTAATGAACTTACTATGTATGTCTGTAGTTTGACTTAATATTGAACCAAAATATTTTTTATACATGTCTCTTGATCTACGATGCTGTAGCTCAAATGCTTCTATAAACATATTATGAAGATGACCATACAAATGTGCTAACTGTTAAAAACAAAAATAAAAAGTTACACCCTTTTTCTTGTCTGAAGGGTGGAATTTCAAGAAACTTCGAGATACATGTTTATCAGTTCAATCAAATAACACAAATAGTAAATTTAAAGCCGGTCAGATCATTTTTTTTATTTTTATACTAATGTTTCTACCCAACATCCCTCATTAGTAGTTGAATTCAAAGACGACGAAATACATATGTATTTACTTTTGTATGAGCTTTCTAAGTTTTAATATTAAATATCATTTTTCCCATTTCAAAAATGACGGATTCCTCATATAAATTTACGACCTCTATTTTACCCTCTTAAGGGAACAGATTTTCAAAAACGCTTAAATACGTTGCATTTCATTACTTTCAGAACAGAACCAACGATTTTATATATATAATCGATTTACTACGTCAGTAGATAATCTATCATGTTTCATAGATTATGATCATGCGTATATAGGGCACTGATAATTTTTTTTAATACAGAAAATTGTGAGTGCGCAACAATTTACATTTACAGTTTTATTTATTTTTGATTAATATTTTCTGTCTCTGTTTCCACATTCGATTTAGTAGATCATATTGATAAATCAATAAAACGAGTAAAATTCTACTTTTTTTTAAGTAAATAAAAAAAATGTATATAAATATATAGGTATATATTTATGCAACATTTCAATAAAATCGAGTCAAGTTTCACATACTTCGGTGTAATACCAAACTACAGCCGCCAATCATAGCATTATTACAAAAAAAAAAAAAATTAAAATATGAATACAAAGCGGACTGTATGCCTGATGGCATTCTTTAACAGTCAACTGTTATGTTAAACAGAGAGAGTAAATGGTGGTGCATTGGATTAATAACTTATAAATGAATTAAATATTGTTGAGTTGAAAATCATTAATTACTCTTCACTGTCAAAGTCAAAAAATTGCATCCAAATTAGTACTTAGTTTTAATTATGTTGCAAACAATAAATAATTAAAGCAAAAAACGTTAATTTATAATTTCTGAGTCCTTATATACATAATTTCATTACAATTGTTTAAGTACTATCATATACTAGAAGACTATGTATGGAAACGGCTATTGTCATTGGCTTCTCCATATTGAAAACAAACAGATAGGACCGTGCCATCTGTACATATATACGAGTCAAGAGTTTATTTAGTTAGTATGTGAAGGAACTTAATTCGAACATAGCACCCAAATTACGAATATGTTGGGCTATATTTTATATATTCTGTGACTATATCTGAAGTGTTGTGATAATAATCTGTATATATATACGAGTGTACAGTTTATTAAAATATTTTCAACGTATCTTTCGTTTGGTTGTGTGTAAATATACTTATTTAATTCAAATACTGCTACCACACAAAATATAGTGTATTACATATTTCTGTGACTATATTTGAAGTGTCGTTATAATGATTTCCTTAGGAATATTATGTGCAGTAGTTATTTATTATACGGCTCAGCTTCATCCATTGTTAACTTTGTTTTTGTTAATTATCATACCGAAGCATTTCTCTCTAATACTGTAACAATGGTGTGAAAACAATTGAATAAATATTAAATGCAAAGAATATATTCGAAGAGCAACTATAATGAAATGATATATTTATGTGACTAGATAAATAATATAAACGAATTAAAGGTAAAACAAAAAGAAAATCATGCCAAAAGAAATGGAGATAGAGTAATGATTGTTTACTTCAAGTATAACATTAGAACGTGATGTAAAGTATATTATAATACCACAATAAGCGGCGACAGCTTAGTTGGACTGTTGGACATTAGCTAAAGAGTAAGTTTTTAAGTATTGGTATTGCGCAATATTTATCATTTAGATAGAGTTATTGTGATGGCTTGTTTCATTATCATCATATCAGCCGTTAACTGTCCACTACTGAACACAGGCCTCCCCCATAAGAGGGGTTTTACTATTAGTTGCCACGCTTGACTTTTTTTTTAATAAATGATAATGGATTGGTAATCCCACCTGTGTATCGGTATACACTGGCGGGGAACAAGTGAGGCATGAATGATGAGAATGAAAAGACAGTTCAAATAGCCCATCGTGACGAATTCAACGATAAATTAATCACGACGGTTTCCAGGGGGAAACGCGTGGAGGTCGATCTGATAATTGATAGCAATGAGAACTAACCTCCCTATTACTAACAATCCACTCCCCCCGGCAAACGCAATTAGGTTTTTAATAATGTTTGAGGAGGTACGCTGCTGCTCATCCCTCGATCATTAAGTTCCATTGGTCCTCTTTTACGACACCTATGAGAAAGGAAGGGTGGTCCATTCTATGGCGGGAACATACGGCAAATAACTCGTTTATTAATAGTATAAAATGAAGTATGCCTTTCATTTTCATCAAAAGAGAAACCAGTACTTACTGTCATAATTAAAACTTTGTCATAAATTAATATAATATTTCAGCTTGTATCCTTGAACTTTTCTTTGACAATGTCATATTGTATGCGTCACAAACCTAAAAAAACAATAGCTGGCAGTTTTTGTATTATTATAATTATAATAAATTGACTCTTTATTTGGTGACACCATAACGTAGAACAATACAGTCTGCGAAGTAGGGCCGCCATCACGTGCTTTCCTTTATAGGAAGTTTTTTGTAAACAGTGCAATCTGTAATATGCGCTCGATTGCACTTGCATAATGAATGCATATGACCTTATAATGTAAACAGTTTCAATCTTTATCACAAACTAGCTATTGCCTGCAGTTTTGCACGTTTCGTGTCGTATTTTTTCTTTAAGTTGGAATTTTCAAACATCTTTTCTTAGTGTATAATTATGTCATAAAATAAATCTATGTTTCAAATAGCTTTATAGAGTTAATAGTTTTGATAATGTCTTAATCCTAAGTCAGTATAGATAAGTGATAATAAGTAAATAAAAAAAAATGGTTTCATTAAAAAATATGTAATTGTCGGAAATAACAATTAGGTTTTGTAAGTTCATTAAATTCATGTTGTTTACTTACATCAGATACAATCGGACCTACGGCTTCAAATAGATATTTTCATTTTTGCATATAAAAGAAAATTTTAAAAAGTTTGCACTCTTCTATATCTGATTATGAATGAAAAACTTGTCAAGTACAAGTAAATTTAAATATTAATATCCCATCTTACTCACTATCTTATCAAGAGGTGCTATAAATATAAAAGTTTGTAAAAACATTTATTACCTACCTACTCAATCATGCTTCAATTGCTAAATAAATTTGAATATTTCGCATAGATATAAATAGATGAATTACAGGAGTATCTTTTATCCCGGAATATTGATCTTTTTTATATATTTTTAAGGACTTTTACCTTCTTCAGGTATATTAGCCCTATCGCTGATGTCTCAATTAAAGCTTTATCTACTTTTCCTAGACACAGAAAGGGAAGAATTAAAGGGCATCAATAATTTACAGATGTTCAAAAATTATTGTAAGATAGTTTACTATCTTTTCTTATAAATGGTATATGTTTTAACAAATCATGTTATGTTGGTGCAATAAAGTGTTAAATAAATAAATAAAAATAAATGTTTTCCTTAAAAGAATTAATCAGTGATAGAGATAGCCTCAAACTATACTATACTACTATGAGCTCCCTGCCGAGGTTTTCCCAAAAGACTACAGCATGGGGTTCTTCAAAAGGGGGGTAAAGGGCTTTCTTCAGGGTCGGCAACGCGCGCGTAATACCTCTGGTATTACAGGCGTTAATTGGCTACGGTAACCGCTTACCATCAGGTGGGCCGTATGCTTGTTTGTCACCTTAGTGGTATAAAAAAAATTTGCCAAGGTGGTTTACAAAGGGAACCACGTGGAGATCGACCTAATAGAATATATTGCTAGCGATAAAATGTATTGATATTAGATCCCCATTACTAACAACTCCTTGACAGGCGAGTCAGCATACGAGGCTTTGGAGATGTTTTAAGAGGGACGCAGCTGCCCATTCATCGACAATAGTTGCCTCTCACGACACCCACGAAAAATGAAGAGGTGATCCATTCTATACTGGGACCACACGACAAACTATCAAGACGAACACAGGAACTTAAACTCTATGCATCATAAAAAAAATTACATAAAAACGTGCACGCAAAAAATACAATAAATTGTTTAAACTAATACCAACTTATTGACCTGTATAAAGATATTTTAAACAAATATATTATTATAATAATATGTAAAGAAAAAAACGTAAAAAAATGTTCATGAGCATATTTTTATTTTTTCATTGATTCCGGCACTACACAATTCAAGACCGGATGTACCCTTATTCTGGACATGTTCCAAACGATATCTTGTTTATAAATAAGATATACATTAGTGAGAATTTAACTGGCATCCTTAAATCTGGATTACATCATCGTTCCCACTTAGTAACAGTTATATTGTGAGTTGATTTAGCTATTCTATTTATCTATAAAATACGATATAATTTAATTTTACTAATATTAGAATCTAACGACCCGCCCCGGCTTCGCACGGGTGAAATTCTGATGCTAAATAGCGCCGCTGTCTCCCCATTACATTACGACATTAGAAGCCTTTAAATTTATTAGTTTTTATTTACTATATTATGCATGTATTATATATACAAACCTTCCTCTTGAATTACTCTATCTATTAAAAAAAAACTGCATCAAATTTGTTGCGTAGTTTTAAAGATTCAAGCATACATAGATAGGACAGACAGACGGAAATCAACTTTGTTTGATACTATGTAGTGATATGAAAATATAAGAGGACTAGATGACCAGCAAAAACTACTACACCAAATTGGATACAGTTCTCGCTTTTATGTTTCAGAAGATTTAATTTAAAATCTGGTATATGTTTTATTCTCGATAACGTTATCTAGAATTGTTCTATTACATTGGTTTTTCTACTTCTGAAAACTAAGCGCAGTAGTAGCTGGCAAAAAGCTAATATCATATATTTAGTAGTCATTTTAAAAAGTTCGTATATTATCTTATGCTTCAGTTGCTGGATAGGTAATTAACAGTTGGCAAGGTAACCAATGCCAAACTGTTAATCATTAGAAGTACTTAATTTAACATCTGACGTCAATTACAAAGTAAATTTTCTGCGTATATTATATACAAAAGAAGAAACTAATTAACTGATATATATATAGCACGAATTGTTCGCCCAAAAACATAGAATAATATATTTTTAAAACAGTTGGTATTACAACGACTATTTCATACAATAATCTAAGGTCGTTTTGCACAAAAAAAGGGAGTTCAATCGTATTAAAACCAGTTAATTTAATTTTAGAACTAAACTAATGAAATGATTTGACAAAATTTCTATGAGACCTATCTGAAAGACCTTTCAGATGAATAAAAAAAATTGCGAATCAGTTTACAAATAACGAAGTGATGAGGTAATAAACATAAAATAAGTACAAACGAATTCAGAACTTACTCCTTTTTTCAACTCGATTATTTTTTTATGAAATGAAATATGAGACTACTATATAAGTTTCATGGAATGAAAAATAAGAGTAGCTGAATATTTCATAATCATCAGGTTCTCTGTTCTTTACAAATAACAAAATCCATAAAGAATTCAGAATACGCATAATATGTTAAATGAGAGGAATCACACTCCGTAAAAACAAAATACACAGCACCTGTAAAGTACTTGAAGAGAATCGATATTATATAGGAAGTGATACTATTATCGCTCTTACACTCGTAGATAGATAAATAAAAATACGCTTATAGTTCTAGAACTGATTACAGATAAGATGAAAGAAAAATAAAATAATATACATTTTTATTAGTATTATAAAGAGGAAGGATTTGTATTTTTGCATGCATGTTTTGCAATGAAGAAACTTAAAAGCTACGGGACCAATTTCATAAATTTATTCACCATTAGAATATTTAATTATATTATTTTCTATCTACTTGTGCGAAAACGGGGTGCTACGCTAGTACAGAATAAACGGAGGATAATTAATCGTATTATTTGCATACAAAATGCATTTTTTTTAAATAAGAGCGCCAATTAATAATACGGTCTTCGTTATGTGGTATGACAATGAATGTTTTTTTTTTAATTGTTAAATTCTTTAACAAATTTAATAGGGGAGATAGGATTGTTAGTAACTGGGTCTAATAGTTCTATTCATAATAATATCGGTATATTGTTATAAACAGTACTGGTTTATTAATATAATGAAGAAACCGTATAGTTTTCAGGACCAGTGAAAAATTCTTGATAAATTTATCACGATGTTTTAACATGAGTTAACTTCATCTTCACCGATCATCATTCATTAGTATTTTGCCAAGGCATAGCGATACCATAGCCGAAGTTACTATTCCATTTTCGTACCATTAAAGATAGGTTTAATAGATTTAATTGCAGGTTCACTTAAGATTCCATCGAAAAATCAGTGAATAAAAAACTTTGCTCCTTATACTGTTGTAAAAGTATTTACATTCCATTAGCACGTGTATATTTGTATTGACTACAGATAAAATATCAAAGATCACAAGACATAAACACGTGCAATCAAAATACTCATCATAGATACAAAATTTTAAACAAGTGGTACAAAGCTTGCGCGCCTATAATTTACAATCAACGGCATACTTCAAAGTAAATACGAGTAGATGTATATATTCTATTTATGACACAAAGAAGAGACAACGTTTCATATACAATTTAATTTAAAGAACATCAATTAGTAACCTTCAGAGGTCATTACACTATGTAGGTACATTAATCTTGTGTTAATGACGAGATGGGATATAACAAAAGTTCAATGATTGTAAACAAAATAACTTTGGATTTTGTTCTGCAAAGAAAATATCATTTACAATATGGAATTAATTTAAATTAGAAATTTAAATTCCACTGACTGTAAAAAAAATTGTTTAGAATCATGGAAAAATATGAATGAGAAGAAAACCTTTTGGATTCTCTAAGGAAACTAAAGAGGTTTTCAAGTAAATGATATTAAAACGGGAAAATAATTACTTGTGCATTAGCGCTATAAGAGTTACTTAAGTAAGAGTTTCTTACAGATTTTTGTATGTAATATGGAATTATCTGCATATGTTATTTATCTTTCACTAAACACTATTATGCTATAGTTGACAGTCATCATCATTTCCATTATGATTACAGCCTATCCATTGTACATTGATGAACATAGGTTTCCTTTATATAAGGCCACAAAATACAATTAATTTATTTTGTATAATAATATGTTAATCTATTCGAATATTATAAAGAAGAAAGATTTAATGATTTGTTTGTAATGGATAAATTTTAAAACTACTCAACCGAATTTGAAAATTCATTCACCAGGGGAAAGGGATTGTTAGTAATGGAGACTGAGAATCCCATTGCTAGCAATATACCCAACCAGGTCGACCTCCTCGCGGTTCTCCCTGGAAACTGTCATGGTTAATTCTTGATGAATTTATCATGATGGGCTAACTGGCCTGTTTTCATTCTCATCTATCACCCTTCACTGGTGCTCCGCCAGCGTATCCCGTTAGCGCAGGCGGGGTTACCATACTATTTTCACCCATCAAAAAAAAAATTCATTCACCTGCAGAAAGCTATACTGTAAGCAAGTTACATAGGCTATATATCGTTTCCAAAAAATCTATCTACTCGTGTGACGCCATGTCGGATCACTAGTCTAATATATTTATAAGTAAAGAGTTATAGAAAATAATGAAATGCCATAACGCCTGTTATGTAAAGTTTTAGATTTCGTAGAGACATAACAGTTTGTCTCGATTCTGACTACAGATGTAGTTTTACGTTTAATAAACGCCTGATCTTTTGAACTTTTAAGCAACAAATCAAAATATTTTATCATTTCCTTTTTATTTTTGTCAGGCGTTTAGCACTACGTAGTATTTATAAAGGAAGTAACAATACAAATAATTCGTACGAAATGTTCACCGCAGCTGTTTATAGAGATTATCTTCTACTCTTTTATTTATAGAAACGAAATGTTTCTCATCCATTTGGATACACAAACGTAGCTTATTATGATCGGAGGATTTTGATTTTAAATAGTTTGGTACGCATATATTTATGATAAAACATTATTTTAGTTTAGTGTTACATATACTTGCTTCACATATTGTTTCCTATTACATACACACTCTCATACTATTCGCATATTGTCAATATAACAAAATTTACAGACAAAATCTATGTAGTACAAATTAACTTAAGATTCTTAATTGTTCTCTACCTATTCTATTGTATCATTCTGTAATCCGTTTTTTTATCAATGTCATAACTGAAATAAGAAAATCTCATCTTTGCTCGAGCAAGAAATGTAGAATTCATAGTGTGCGAGTTCGATTAGCGCTTGGGTGATTTTTTAATCAATAGGTTTAAAGGAAATTAAAGATAACCATATTGAATGACGACAGTCGGGTCTAGAAACATGGAATTTTAGACAATGGTTCCATATAAGTAGGAGTTACTTATAAGGAAGTGTCCTATATTTTATTTTACAAACTAACATGGATCGACAATGGACAAATTTATTTGTACAAAACACAATATATAGTGTATCTATATGTTAATGATTCCTGACTGTTTTCATTCACAGTGAACGCTTTGACTTCATTACAGCTAATGTAATACGGGGTTGTTGGTGGCATTAATTTGTTCGGACGTAGCTTACATAGCCAATTTTTTTAATAAAGGTTGTTGCATATAGTGGGCATGTAACCCATCACTGTTGTAATGGTATATTACAATGATGTTCGAGATTTTATTTCATATCTCTTTGCGTCTAACGTCGAGAAACGTGACGTTCCAGAATTATTAATTATTAATTTTGTTAGAGCCCTCTATTACGTATATATTGGAAGAAAGAACAAAATATTTTTGTTCAAGTAAACTTCTTAAAATTAGCATTTTTGAATAGTAGTTTTTTTTTCATTACCGCTATATATACACATACACACAATATTAAGGACTTAGGAAACATAAATTTTAAATTGGGCTTCCGATTCTTCTGATATAAGATACTGATATCAGAAAACTGTTTAGTGTCATTATAATTGTAATTTTGGTAGCGTCATTAATAATCAGGAAAAAATATTGTATCTATTCACACGCATTTCTCATTCATACTGTATTTACATGTACTATTTAAATCCATGGCCTTCTTCTCATATCCTGCAGTCAATGTCGTTGATCTTGAGTTATATATAGACTTATGGAATTTAATTATAATTAAATAGTTATATCGTAATAATAATTATAATGAAGCTTCAAATTACTTAGCGAGCCATGGACGGTTTTTCTATGGATAATGATGGAATGGTAGCCCCGCCTGCGCTGATGGTATAGGCTGGCGGGCACCAGTGAGGGATAATAGGTGAGAATGGAAAGGCAGGTCAGTTAGCCCATCCATCACGATGGGCTAACACCTGAAATTTAGCACCATGGTTTCCAGGGGGACCATGTGGAGGTCGATCTGACAAGGTATTTATTAAGATATTGCTAGCAATTGGACTGGTAATCCGCATAACTAACAGTCCCTTTCCCCTTAGCTATGGAGGGCTATGTTTGAAGTTTCTTTGCGTGACAGAATCCGAAATAAAGATATTTGCAAAAGAATCAAAGTCACCGATATAAACCAAAGCAAGCTGAAGTGGCAATGGGTTGATCACATAGCTTGAAGAACCGACAACCGATGTGGAAGAAAGGTGAGTGGCGACCTCATACATATACACTTATTCAAAAAACACTTTTTACTTACGAAATGAAAACGGAAATCTCATTCGCCAATAAAACTATTTTTATTTTTTCATCCATACAATTTCTTAGAATACATATGTTAACTAGTCATTTCCGGATGTTAACGACACGAAAATTAGTCCAATTTTGATGCAAATATAGCGGAGCGGTCTAAACATCGAGAGCTCACAAATAGACAACCATTTAAATATATCTTCCTAAATATGTGAGATATTTTGAAACAATTTTAAGAAGAAGGAACTCTCAGCATTAATCTCTCTGTCCAATCAGGTCGACCTCCACGCGCTACCTTTGTGAAATTATAGTCACGATGGACTGAGTTTTTTTTAAGTTTGTAACATAATACTATGGCTCGTTTCATGTTTTAGGAAACTGTAAATGACGTGAGCAATTTATTCTTAAATGAATAAATAAACTGACCTGGCTTCATCTTCACCTATCATCATTTACTGGAACCCAGTTAGCATATACTGAATTACTGATAAAGCAGACAGTTATCATTCCATTATCATTCATAAAAAGTCTTAAAATCTTTAAAAATATTTAGACATAGACTGGATTCTTCGTAGTCGATTCGTGATAGTATGTATAATGGTAAGGGCAATGGTACTTTTATGATAACGAAAAAAAAAATAGCAATTTTTCTAATAACACATTAAAACATAGCGTATTTTCTTAAATAGAAAAACAAAATTTATGTGCTTTTTTTACAATATTATTCAATTATAAGAAAAACTCATAAAATTAATTAGGATTTTTTTATCTATTAAAATTTTTAGGTTACAAAGCTTCACGAAGTAACCATTAAAGCCGGAATTATGCGTGAAATTCTTTTAGATTTGTATCTAATATTTCTTTTATTTAATTGATCAGTAATATTATCAGTAAGTAAATAATATTGACATGGTGGAACTTGATCTGTTCCTAGACAGTTATGGTCGATGTTTTGAAATTGTATAGCGTACGTACGTATGTTGTTTATAATAATGACGCCATATTATACAATATTATGTTTACACTTGATACAAAATAAATGCGTGACGCCGCCCGCCCCCGCGGTGTAGCCGCTGGGCGGGCGGGCAGAACAACCGACCAGTTCATTCTTCGAACCCGTCGCGAAAACTCGTCCAGCTGTCTTGTGAATTCTGAAAACTTTCATCGTATCTCCATTAAAATGCCTGTACGTAAGATTGATTTTTGCGTAACATTTCTTCTAGAAACTAATACTTATATGAAATTACTAATTTAACATTAAATTTATTTTAACTATATTTAAAAGGTTTAACGCTTTTATTTATTGAATGGATAGCGCTTTTCACTTCATACTAATTTATCGGGATCGTGAAATGTCAACTAGACAAACAAGTTTGACGTCATTCGTCGAGATTAGGCGCGCGCGCAGCTGCTCCGACTCAATCGTTCAAAGTTTTCCAGAAACTACATTATGATAGCACTAACAGTTACGGAACGTTATTTTCGGATGCTGGAATCAGTCTGTACACCCATCAAACGACTTGGCACTGGAACTGATGTTTTATGGCCGTCGTTCAAAAGTTGCATGTGTTTAGATTTTTTATAACATCCGATAGAATGTGGAAAACTCTATCTTAATGCTAGCTGGTCTATGTTGGACTATTATTAACGTTCCACATGATTAGTGACGTGTGAATTAAAAAAATATCGCTGATAATCAAATATGTGTTCTTGTTTTTATTCCCGTCAATTACTACTATGAAAATTGATACTGAATTTGTCACGAAAGGCATAACAAAATTAATATGGGCTAACTGGAGAGTTAGTCTTTATCACAATGAAACTTTAAAAATGAAATTCTTTCAAATTTGGCAAAAATGTGGTATAACATAACACATACACTATCAATTTAAGAACCTAAAACAGGAATTAATGTAATGCAAAACTATACATCACATTAAATATTAAAACTTTATCTTTTGTTACAGGCCAGAAACAAGGAACAAGAGCAAGAAGTCCTAACCTGGATCTTTGAGGTCCTCGGTGAACCTCTACCTAATGGTGATTATGAAGACATCTTAAAAAATGGAGTAATTCTGTGCAAATTAATCAACAAGCTCGCTCCTGGATCTGTAAAGAAGATTCAAGAAAAAGGAACCAATTTCCAGCTTATGGAAAACATTCAAAGGTAAAAGAACAAAACCAAGATTTACAGTACCAAAAACTTAAAAGTTGAAGTATTGGTGAAAGTTTACTAAATGATGTATAATTCATTGCAGGTTCCAAGCTGCTATTAAGAAGTACGGAGTGCCAGAGGAAGAAATTTTCCAAACAGCTGATCTCTTTGAGAGGCGTAACATCCCACAAGTGACTCTATGCCTGTACTCATTAGGCAGAATTGTAAGTATTCATATCATATTTGAAATACTTTTCACTACAATTAAGTGTTATTAACTTTATAATCGTAAATTTCAGACTCAGAAGCATCCAGAATTCAACGGTCCTCAGCTCGGACCGAAAATGGCTGAGAAGAATGAACGTACTTTCACTGAGGAGCAACTAAGGGCACACAATGCGGAATTAAACCTTCAAATGGGCTTCAATAAGGGAGCATCGCAAGCTGGTCACGGTGGCTTTGGCAACACTCGTCATATGTAAATGCACAGTCAAAACCTATAGGTATCTGAGACCAATGGGCGCTTTTATAATTTATCGTAGCTCGGTACGGCATGGTCATAAAATAGGAAAGGAGAAAATTTTATTCTAAAGTCTCCTTTCATTGCTCGATTGTTCCATAAGTGATATGCATTTCAAAATAGGCATAGTATTCGATAATATTTCGTTCTCTCATAAATCATGCCATGTTTCACCGTGATACTGTAAATTACAAAGATGTTCTATACCGATTTATTCGGAGTTAGTCAGTATTTTTAATGATTATATTTATTCCATTCTTGAACTATTGTCTATTTAAAACTGACAGGTAACAAGACAGATTATTATTTATTTTAAATTTCTCATTTCAATTCCTGCTTAACAATGTCAAAGATTGTGTGATAAACATTGGATTATTGTATCTAATTAGAATTAATATCTAACAAACGCTATTTTATTAAGATTTTTCTACGACTACGGTGTCATTTTGTAAATATTTAACATTATTTTATTAAACGTTGTTTCTAAGGAACATTGTTTTTCTTTTACTATTATGTGTATTAAATATATTTCGTTTTATATATTTATATTATTATTATCAACCATTAACTGTCCACTGCTGAACATAGGCCTCTCCTATAAGAGGGGCTTTGCCAGTAGTGCCACGTTTGGCAGGCAAGTTGGTAATCGCAGTTAGTCTTTAGTGATGTTTTAAAAAGGACTCTGCTGTCCATCCCTCAACTATTAAATTTATAGATTATTAATATTATTATTGATTAATTATTAGGATCTGAAAGTTGAACCAAAATACCATGTAATGTTAATTTTCAATTACTTAGTTAAAGTCTAAGAATTAGACCAATCAGTATTCCTTTATTTATGTGAAGGAACGGATTAAGATAAAATGTGGCTTACATATAGGTACCTAGACAATGACGTAAATTATTGCTCTGCAAAATTTTATTAAAAACAACTTAAGAGTTTGCAACAAAACATCTGCACTCAATAATACTCATATATTTATAAATTTGATGGATGTAAGTAGGTACGCAATGTGTTTATTTTGAACGTCTATGAAAAAAAACTATTTTATTCAGTTGTATATTTTTATGGTTTATCTTCCGTGTTATTTTCGCTTCGAACCGACTAATCGACTATCATTAATTTTAACCAACTTTAAAAAAACGTTCGCGTCAGTTATAAACCGATTTGGAAATTTCTTTTTCTTTTTATCTAATAGAATATACTTTCAAATTGGTCTTATAGAAATTTTATAAAAATCGGTTCAGTAGTTTAGTTTTGAAATTAAAAAAAAAAAACAGATTTTGCCACAAATGAAGTTTCTTTTTTTTTGGAACAATTTTATTAATATAAAGAGTTTATTTCCGCGTTAACAACTGACTATTTATTCTTTAGTACAAAAATATGACTTAATATGGAGAAAATGTTCTTAGCATTAGGCAAAGAACGTCTTCCAGTTAACCTTTACGACGTAATAGGGTATACGTTTAATTATTATTCATATATCTTATTATTATATACTTCAAACTGTGCAATAATTTATCACAATATATTCAGTAAAGTAATGCAAACCTAAATTATTATGAATATTATTTGTCGTGGCGTCACAGATATGTATGTATGTATTATTTATCATCTTTAAACCATAGATTCACAACTTTTCGATATTTAATTTGATTAGAGTTCACACGATTGTAATTTATAATATTAATTATAATTAATATCTAAATATCTGTAAAGTCTGTATTAAAATTCGCTGCGTGATTATGAAGAAGCAAATGGAGAAACGGACAGACGCAAACAGGCACTTGATATTACATAGTGTTCAAATATATTATTGCTATTATTTATTTGTTTATTTATAACGTATATACATATTTTTGGCGAGCTTTACAGATTTATCAATGCACTCACCAAAAACCAAAAATAGATTATAACTACATAATAATAAAACAAATAACACATTAATGGAAAAGTGTAAAATTACTATATCAATACAATTAATAAATAAGTAGACGTAAGTATATGCTGTATTATATAATTTTCTTGGTATATATTATGTGTCAGAGTCTGTCAAAACTTGTTTATTCGCTCATAAACATTCAGCTTGTTGGAAAATTTTATTTTTCCGAAATTATGTTTATATAAGTAACATGATCTCATTTCGAACACGGACTAAAATAAATGCGATGATAAATTTGGTGGTTTAGATCTGTCGTCTCTTAATTATCTCGTCGTATACACGTGTTTGGGCGAATAACAATAATGATATAACAATAGAGTAATATTATCGTCATAATTTCAGCCATTATTTGTCCACTGCTGAACATAGGCCTTCCCCATAGATTGGGGGGTTTTGCCAGTAGTTGCCATGCTTAGCAAGCGGGTTGGCAACCGCAGTTAGGCTTTTAGTGATGTTTCAAGAGGAACGCTGCTGCCTGTCCTTCGACAATAAGTTCCCTTAGTCCCCTATTATGCCACCCACGATAAGGGAAGGGGTGGTTTGTTGTATGCTGAGACTTACACAGCTTAATATAATAATATAATTAAAGTTATTTATTTATTTATTTAACTAACTGGGCGAACTTTACAGTTTTTCATTATAGGAAATATATATATCTAGGGAAGTATCAGTACAAGAATAAATACCATAATAAAGACAAAATGCAAACAATCCTTATTATATTAGTTATTATAAATGTGAAAGTGAGTTTGTCGGTTTGTTACCTTATAACGTCTTAACGGCTGGATCAATTATTACTATATGGGATGGAGAAGAAGAATGCTTTATATCCTAGTCAGTGGATATATTCCGATCACGAGGATAAAAGCAATTAAATAATAAATAAGGATGAAGCAATACATAATATAATAAAAATCTATTCCCCTTATTTATAAAAAAAAGTCAAAAGTCTCATAAATCTATTTTAGCTATTAAAGTATTTTGTCTCTTTTTTATATGAAAGTCCAATTTGAAAGAAAGTGACAAAAAACTAACATGGCTAAAATAAATTTGTAGTAGATTTTAATTTTTATTAATAAGGGGGTCTATTTTAAAAAGATGTCATAAATATTCCATCGTTACTCGATAAAATTCTAGCAAGTTACAAGAAAAACAAACCTTTAGTTCTGAATACTGGCTGGCTCATAGCATCATTGAGTAGTCTGAACGCAAGAGAGAGGGAAGTTTGCTTGGCCAACTCTGTTCTTTTTAACAGAACATCAAATAAGTGCCGTCGACGTGCTCGCACGTAATTACTGGGCGCTCCAATAGTTGTTGATGCCAATACAGTTTGGTTAAATTTTTTGTATTAATTTTAATACATCTTCAATTTATGTAAACTTCCGTCTCACTTCAAATATATTATTATATAACCAACTATCTCCTATTAAAAATTATATACAATTATAAAACAAGAGAGGCTTTTATATATGACGACTTTGTTAATACAGCGGTGGAACATACTATCTCACCTCTCGATGATCGCTAGTTCGATCCCTACATACGGACAGTACAAAAATCATATTCGTAAATATGTCTGTTGTATTGGCCTGTGTGTTTTCTATATAAAACGTTTATGTATTTGAATAACCATATTTAAGTTCTCGTATTATAAGCGTTGCTTAGTTCGGGACTAGATACCGCAAAATAATATGTCTAAGGGTATTAAAAAGACGCTGTAACACAATACGGCGTATGTTCTTATTGGCATTAGATTTGCATAGAGAGCAAAATATGTGCAATTATGTGGAGCTATAAATTACCGTGCATGTCCATGATATCGTCATACCATACTATAATATCGTCGCGAAAAATTAAAAACGTCTTAGTATATTGCAAACATTGATTACATTGTGCTCTCCTATTATACCGTGACGATAAAATAATATCCTGCCATGTCATTCTACAGTACATTATCAAAGCTTCTAATGTTAAGTGTTACTGTAGCTTTAAAAAGTTGTGTTAACTCAAAAAAGTACGCGAAAGTTGACAAAAAGTATTGGTTTAAGTCTCAATTATTTTTTTAGTAATGCTTCCAGACAGCACGAAATATATTCATTGAATTTAAAGCTAAATTACAATGTACTGTAAGTATATATCGGGCACAACATTCATAATAATAGTAACAGCCGATAAATACCTGACTACCACATTAGAATATCTCTAGTCGTGAGGTTCCTCTTACCCACTAGAATCTTTCAACTTATTTAGAGGAGACCCTTATTTTTGTTAGATATTTACAATTGATTTACATTGTACTGAAAATATTAGCATACATAGAGGACATTCAACCTAACCATTCAAACACTGTTGTCTTACACTGTCACTCGTGAAGTCGTAACACTTGGTGGCAATAAAATTAGTTTTATATTCACAGAAATAGCTTTGGGGAGTGTCGCGGTTTGCGGCTAGCAATCATTTAGCTGTACACTTTAGGCGTAAACAAAAACGAAAGTAATCTTAATATATATAAAAAACCCGTATCACGATGTTTATTCATGATATTGAAAATGCTCAACGGCTTTAATAAAATTTATTAAATGTGTAATTGTTGCTTCAACTTTAGAGATGGATATTTTTATCCTAATATTTTATTATATTTGTCGTTAACTGTCCACTGCTGGACATAGGCCTCCCCTATAAACAGGGTTCTGCCAGCAGTTGCCACGCTTGGCAGGCAGTGATGTTTGTAAAAGAGACGCTGCTTCAACTGCCATCTGCCCATCCTTCAACTATTAAGTTCCCTTAATTGCCTTTTACGACATTCACAGCAAAGGAAGAACCATCTCTATCTATGCTGGGACCACACGGCATTTCCTTATGTGTAAATCATAAATACGATAAGAAATACAGCAACGTTTGCTGGGTCAATTAGTATCCTTTCTAATATTATAAATGTTTTAGAAGTGTGTTTGTTACCTCTGGGCGTCTTAACTGTACAAGCAATCGTTATGAAATTATGGGATGAGCATAAGTGATATCTCAGTCAATAAAAACATATCCGTCACGCGGTCGAAGTCCGTGCCTTATAAATGTCAAAATCGAATATATTCGATTTGAAATTATCGAATTATGGCCATGTTTAGATCTAATACACTCGGCCACAGATAATATAATACTAGGTTCGGTGAAATGTGGACATGTCGAGTGTTACTTTCACCATAACGACTACAATCTATAAATACCTATCTCCGTGTACCCCATTCGGAATTATAGTCGTATGTTTTTTTTTTAAGTTTACTTATGAGTAAAATTAACGCAATTGAATTCTATCCAATTTGTTAATTGTAGTTTTTGTCGGCTTTGGTGGAACTTTGTATAGGTGCTGATATTATTCGAGAAACACTTGTATATTTCCAGTCCTCTTACAATTGATTGCATTTTACTTGTGTAAAGTTTGCTATAAACGGCTAAACCGGTTAGATATTTATAATGACACCATTTTGTCGAAGAGTACAAGAATTGGCAGTGAATTGAAAGGGGTCAGAGGTATAACGCCTTAGTTCTGG